CGCTACCAATCTTTTCCCTGTTCAAGTCTCGGCTTTATGCCAGGGTGTCAGTGGGACAGTGGACCCCAGCGTACCCTTGGACTATCGATCAAATTTGAATGATTCCGCTGTCACAACGTCCAGTACTAGCTTCGATGTCAATGCCAAGTACCACGATTTCCGCCATTGGACTAACGACTCCCGCGCTGACTGGTTCTATGAACAAATGGTTATGATGCGCTCGAATTACAAGAAAGGCTACGTTGGTTATACTGCAAAGGCAATGAAGAAGCTGGCGACCGACAAGTCCAAGAAAGTTGCAAGTATCAACGGCAAAATCTACGACCTGACTTATTACATTGCCGGGCCCCGAGTACCCCGCCGGCCAGCAGGAAAGAACGCCACCGGCACTGTTGATACCGATTACATGAGCCCTCTGCTTGTCGATATCTTCCGGGGAAAGGCTGGAGATGATGTGACCAAGTACTGGGAAGACTTGAACTTCGATGCGGCACTTAGGTCCCGAATGCAACTTTGCCTTGACAACCTGTTCTTCATTGGCAAGGTTGACACTCGAGACTCAGTTCGCTGTCAGTTTGCGCGATACTTCATTCTCGCAATTTCGATCATGCTTGTTTCCATTATTGGCTTCAAATTCTTAGCCGCTCTGCAATTTGGAAGGAAGAACCTTCCGGAGAATTTGGATAAATTCATTATTTGCCAAGTCCCGGTTTACACCGAGGACGAAGAGTCACTGCGCCGTGCCATGGACTCTATGGCTCGCATGCGCTATGACGACAAGCGCAAGCTACTGCTCGTTATCTGTGATGGTATGATTATTGGCCAGGGCAACGATCGTCCGACTCCCCGCATCGTCCTTGACATTTTGGGTGTTCCCGAATCTGTCGATCCTGAACCGCTCAGCTTTGAGAGTCTGGGCGAGGGTATGAAGCAGCATAATATGGCAAAGCTCTATTCTGGTCTCTACGAAGTCCAGGGCCACATCGTTCCTTTCCTGGTTGTTGTAAAAGTTGGCAAGCCTTCTGAAGTGTCCCGTCCTGGTAATCGCGGAAAACGTGATTCCCAGATGGTTCTTATGCGCTTCCTCAACCGTGTTCACTACAACCTGCCGATGAGCCCCATGGAGCTTGAGATGCATCATCACATCCGGAACATCATTGGCGTCAATCCGCAATTCTACGAGTATATTTTGCAGGTCGACGCTGATACCATGGTGGCGCCCGATGCCGCCACACGGTTTGTTTCGGCATTCCTCTCTGATACGCGTCTTATCGGCGCCTGTGGAGAGACGTCTTTGTCTAACGCCAAGACCTCCATGGTGACAATGATCCAAGTTTATGAATACTACATCTCTCACAACCTGACCAAGGCATTCGAGAGTTTGTTTGGATCCGTCACTTGCTTACCCGGTTGTTTCACTATGTATCGTATCCGCACAGCGGAGAACGGAACGCCTCTCTTTGTCAGTAAGGCTGTTGTCGACGCCTATTCGGAAATCCGCGTCGATACCCTCCACATGAAGAACCTGCTGCACCTTGGTGAAGATCGCTACTTGACGACACTTCTTATCAAGTTTCATCCGAAGTTCAAGACAAAGTACATATTCCGTTGTCATGCCTGGACAGTTGCACCGGAAAGCTTTGCTGTCTTCCTCTCTCAGCGTCGCCGATGGATCAATTCTACGGTTCACAACTTGATGGAGTTGATTCCGCTGCAACAACTGTGCGGTTTCTGCTGTTTCAGTATGCGATTCATTGTGCTTATCGATTTGCTCATGACGGTCATTCAGCCAGTCACGGTTGCCTATATCGCTTACCTGATCTACTGGTGTGTGACTCAACCAGATGTGCTGCCCATGACCTCTTTCATTCTGCTCGGTGTCATCTACGGTCTACAGGCCTTGATCTTCCTCGTTAGGCGCAAGTGGGAAATGATTGGCTGGATGTTGATCTACCTCCTAGCCATTCCCATTTTCTCCCTTGCTCTGCCACTGTATTCCTTCTGGAATATGGACGACTTCTCCTGGGGTAATACCCGTGTTATCACCGGAGAGCAAGGTCGCAAGGTTGTAATTTCCGACGAAGGTAAATTCGACCCCGACTCAATTCCCAAGAAGATCTGGGAAGACTACCAAGCCGAGCTGTGGGAATCCCAGACTTCACGCGACGACCGATCTGAATTCTCTTCACACTCCTACGGCACCAGACTGCCTCCCTTCCCGCAATCAGAGTATGGGTACCATACCGGCTCGCGCCCGGTCTCGCAACTCGACTTGCCTCTTGGAGGCGGTGGTGCTCGTTACTCAGCCGCCCCGTCTGAAATGATGAGCAACTTTGGTATGGAAGACCTCAGCCATCTCCCTGCCGATGATGAGATACTCGAAGAGATCCGTAAGATCTTGTCGACTGCAGACTTGATGAAGGTCTCGAAGAAGACCGTCAAGCAAGAGCTCGAAAGGCGGTTCGATGTCAACCTGGACGCCAAGCGTCCATACATCAATTCTGGTAAGTGATAATCTAGTCGATATCTTAATGGACACAAACTAACAGATATGCAGCCACCGAAGCCGTTCTATCGGGAATTCTTTGAACGATCTATCTATTTTTACACCACCCCGTTTCCTGTATTTCGTCTGAGGTGTGGACATAGGATTCCTTCGACCAACATGTGTTATTAATTCTTTTGGTGTCTTGATTTGTCTTCTTTTTACAAGCGAACTTATGCATGGATGAGAGCTTTGCGCAGCGATTTCCTTTCGGCCCTTGATTTTCTTGAAAATTTCGTCTTTTGCCTCATAAAATTATTACCTGCATCCTTGAAATCAATAATTCCCAGAAATTGTCTCTGGTGTTTGTTTGCCTTGTGATCCATATGAATGTCGAGTGTTAGTTCCATCGTAGGTATAAATATGTTCTACAATACCCTTGGCTAGGTGGAGGATCCTACAACGTTGACTTCGAGAAAAAGGACAATTCACTAAAGATAATGGAGCTGCACATAGGGTACTCGGTGTAGAATAATGAACAGGAATTAGGACTAGTAATCTGTTTCTCTAGTTTGGCTGACCTGGATCTCACGCCGAACCGCCAAAGTTAAGGTCCCATCTCTCACATCCTCCTCGCTTCACTTTCTTTCATCTCAACTTTCTTCCATTTGCTTTCACTTCATCCTATCTTTGTTTACAGGCAAATAAAATGGCCACCATTGTATCCTCGGCAGCTGGCCCTCCACCACTACCACAAACAGTGAAGGTGAGAAGGTCCAATATCGGGTGCGGCTCAAATAAAGCTGGAACTAGCCCTAATCAGGAAGGAACAGTCCCACTCTTGATCGGGTGGAAGGTGCAAATGGCAACATAGAGTGGGTGTTGAACAGAGCCGAATTCAAAGCAAAGTTCGTTGTTGTTTTTTTCTCTTTGTTACTTTTGTTGGGGCGCAAAGAGGGTTGAAAAATCAGGTGGAAAGTCCTCGGAAAGTCCTCTTGTAAGAAGAGTTGTGGAGTTTGGGAGGAGGAAGAAGAAGAAGGAAAGGTCTTTTGGTGTGTCTTTTTTTGGAGACCAAAATTGGTTATATCTTACGTGTAATCTAGCAATGAATATATATGTATTCTCCCTCTAGCTCCAGGGGTTAGCAAATAAAATGGCGACTTAGAAAGAAATGTATAGGGGACGAACCGTACGCCATATCCTAAGTCCTTCAGTCCATTCCTTCCGTATACGAGCAATAAGCGACAAAGTGCTTTCATTTATCTACAACAACCCCCGACTCTTGCACATGCCCGCTCTCTCCTGTCCACACTCTGCTTTTCTGCGTAGATTGCCAAATCGGCTTTGGCAAGATCTTCTGCAACCATTCCTTCTTACTCTCTGGCAGGATATTTCTATCTCCGAAGAAAAGAGCACCCGTTCGAATAGCAACATAGCAACTGGGGGTTAACGAAAACCAATGAGTCGGCGTCGATGAACACGATTTCGCAGAAAGACGAGAAAAGTATAGTAAAGGGCTTGCCAGCCCATCCGTTAAGCCGCCAACCTTCGTCATTAACCATTACAGAGAGGTCGCGCGTTATGATACCTAGCAATATATTGAGCTTCGTGCAGAAGTCTTCACTCGAATCGCTCTCGCTGAGATACATTATCTCGACAGGAAGATTGCAGCCAGTGGAAAAGGCGGTTGGTTATTGCCGTCACGTCAGGATCGTGACGAAACCCATATAGTCTGCAAAGTATGGACTCGTCCATGGAAAAGACAGGGCGGAGAACTTAATGATTCAGCTCTCTTCGTCTTTCCCTGTCGCAGAGTGTACATTTTGCTGCAATCCTACTAGGCTTTTCACAATGGATTGTTCATCAAGCGTCCCTTGCGATGTCGAATCATGTACGATGTACTCCGTACTCCGTACTTGGTAGATGCTTCAATCTACAGCCGAGGCCTATCTCCGCCGATCACCCTATTCCGTGCATGATCTGCAATTCATCAAACATCATCGTGTTGATCACGTATTCGGTAGGAGAAGTACGAGGACCTAGTCCCCTTTTTGAGGCAAACCCCGATTAGCTATTGATGCCGTTGATTGGCCACTTTGACCACTTTGGTACCAAGACACCCCAAGTTTCTTTGCCCTGGGTCTTATCTTCCAACATTTATATACAACATACTAAACGTCAGTCCTTGAACCTGTAATCAAACAACTTAGTTGATCCTGAAAGAAATTTTAGGGTATCAACTACCGAGGTCGCACCAAGGCGTTGTTTTGCTTTGAATGGCATATCTCTCTATCATGTGAAAGGCGGGTCTGATCGACATGGATATAACAGAACCCCAAGCGACGACTAGTTGGTGAAATCATTTGAATTTTCTTCTACGTCTACTTCTACCTCCACACGATACAGCATGGGAAGCAGTTGTCATACTACCATCCACCGGAATTTCACCGTCCATGACCTAGGCTGAAAGCGAATAGTGTGGCACTCATCAACATTGTTGCGACTTGCGCCCATCATGTCAAAATCTGACATCTCAAGTAACTCGGAGGCGGATGAGGCGCTACCGGCCCCAGAAAAGCCGACCTTTTGGGGCCGGTTCAAGGCACATATGAAGATGTTCTGGTGGGCTTATTTGATCGCATTCTGCATCTCTGTCCTCGTCATCATTCTCCCACTGTGAGCTTATTCATGGAAAATTATACTGTCAATATTGACTGTTCTTCAGCTTTTATATCGGGATTCCTAATTTCGCGAGCGACTATATCAACAAGTACGAGTATGACACCGACGGCCTCGAGATAACCAACCCCCGGCCTACTGCCTTTCACATTAAACAAAAGAAAACACTCAAAATCGGAGGTGGGTTCAGTGGCAGTGGTAATATGAATGCATTCAACGCCACATGTCGTCTCAAAGACACCGACGAGATTCTTACAGTATTCCCTGTGCCAAAAATTGCATTTGGCAACGGCGCCACTCTGGAAATAGACGAAGATTTGAATTTATCCTGTGTCGACTGTCTATCGCGATTGACATCTGCGGCTGCATCTAACAAGAGCTCTTCCGTTCTGATCGAAGGTTCACCGGATTTGGAATATGGTGCTCTACCGACTGCTCATTTGAGCATTCATAAAATAATGCACGTGGGTAGTGAGTGAGAGTCCTTTCCCTGTCTACCATGAAATAAACTAACGATGTTGTTATAGGCTATAATGTCACAGGTGAGACATGTAATACTAAATGTCCTACTGGGAGTCACCGTTTCTAAACCTCGACAGACTTCATGAACGCCGAAGGCGCATTCAACGTCACCAAGATAGAACTCCTGGATCCTCCAGTTGATGGATATAACTTCAATGCTACGATCTCCGTGCGCAATCCGAGTCCCTTCATTGTTGAGCTGGTATGTCAATTCGTCCCATACCCTAGGATATATAAGTATGGCTGACACTTTTAGGGGCATGTGACTTTCAATCTCACCTTGGGTGGCTCGGACCTGGGTTGGGTCGATTTGCCCTATCTCTTTCTGGGAAAGTCTATCAGCAGCACTGTGGTCCTCGGGTCAGTTGACAAAGAAATGTTGATTCACGAGGCCATTACTGGTGACGATGATGTTGGCACGGTGACTATTGGCGTTCATGGGAGAAGCTGTTCTTTCAAGGGTGTCGATATCCCTTACCTCACAGCAGCTGTTAGGGCTATGTCTGCGTCGGCAAGAATCAATCTATTAGAATACGCATCAAGTCTATTTTCTTGATGTAATAAAGATACGGTTGAATGGCTGTAAGTATCTCATAAATAATATTTTGAGAGGATGAGATGATCATGCTATGAGCCAAGCTATGAAACTTGGTATTTGTAGATAGGGCATTTCCACCGTAAGTGACAGAGACACAGTGAACTGAAACTAGTCGACAAACACATAAAAATGGGGGAAAGATGTACCGATTCTCTGCTTTCATCAAAAGATTCCTACCAAATATGTGAACAAAATCAAAGGAATTATAAAGGTCAAAGCCCAAAGACATGTTCTTTACCTGTTCAAACCACAAAGAATGAATGGTACCCCTGAAATAGAGAAAGCACAAAAATGAAATCTTTGTGACTCTTATTGTTTCTTCTATGTTATTATCCTCTTGAATTCCAGCAATCAGGTTTCCCTCAACAGACATTGTATGAATAGACTTGATCCCGCATTCTCGAAAACTATCAACTTTGTTCGAAGGGTCTTCATCAGCTACAGTCCAATCCCCTCCTTAGGTTTGTTATAGTACCCATTTGTCATTATGCTAATCCCCGCAGGAAATGCCGAACACCAATTTCTGCACACACGGGATCAGTTCGTAGCTAAAATGCAGATCGAGATTGATGTCCTTACAAGTCGCCAGAAGATCTCGCCCTTTCGCCTGATGCTGGCTGTGGAAAACCTCACCGACCTTATTGACCAATTACGTGTTGTTGAACGAGCTAGTACCACTATGTACAAGGCAATGCCACGGTGCCGTACTGTGCGAGATAGACCTGGCTACTACGGGCATAATTGTGCATTCCTAGCAAAGACTCACAAGCTTCAGCCCCATTTGGTTGTGCTTAGGGATAACCTCATGTCTCAATATGCCAACCAGCATTGGATTGCCCGTCAGATTGACGCTGTGGACCGGTACTTGGACCTTTAAATATATGCCAATTCATTAGTTCAAAAAGAATATCTGAAAGACACCACGTGCCCTTGTAAACTGTTTACTATTCTTATATCTATATCTCACCACTTTTAGAAAGGTCTACTAGCTCTCTGCTCCTAAGTATAAGGATGGAGTTATTTTCATACTTATAAAATCACCTAAAAAAGGGGTGATATATAAATTCATATAGTGTAAATAACATTTTTGCCTGTTAGAGATGATTAGCTGGCACAGCGAGCAGGGTACCTTACTTATTAAGGCCTCTATAATGGCAATTCAAGTATCTTCATTTCTCTGGAAGTCTTAATTCAGGCATTAATACCCGAACATGGGGGATTTGTCGCATGGCACCTATTCCCCTGCGTAAGTAGGCATTGTTTTGATCTCGACCAGGAAACCGTCCTAGTGAATGCCAAATGTCGGAGGTTTGCGGTGCTGAACAACAGTACAAAAGGTTCAAGTACACCTATCCTCTCTGGGAAGCTCGGCTATTTAAATTCTAGGTATAGATCCTAGCACAGCTCGTTTTGAACCTCGCTTCCTTTTCCCGATCCTCGTCAAAATAGATTCGTAGCAACGGCTTTAACTCCGTACAGAACTTCGCGAAGAGCTTCGTTTATAGTTCCCTACCACAATCAACAACCCTCGGCGGCAAATTTAGCAACTCCAGCAAGCTTCTTTGTCCTCTCGTTCCTCCCCCGTTCGAAACGACTAAAGCCCTCTCCCCGATGTCCCGAGAAGTTCATAGACCAACCAGTTAAGAACGACACGTGGGATGCCTCTATCTCAATTCAACTTGGTTCTCTTAATCTAGAACAAGTGGCTATTACCAAACTTTTTGTGCCGTCTAGGGATTAGATGGATTTTTTTTTTCGTGGGATTATAACACGATCCTGCCTTTATCACATGCTACCACATACGTACATTGTCATATGCTATTTGCTCTTTCCAATTTGGGTTGTTTGCAATGTTTACATACGTGGGTTAGCTCTTACTATGTACGTATTTAATCCTCTCACTGTACTTTCCTAGTTTGAATGTACTAACTAGTTATATATCTAGGGTTAAGAATGCCTCCTTATAGTGGCTCATTCTTTCTCATCCTCCACCTCTTCCTCCGCTTCCTCCTTCACCTCTTCCTCCACTTCTCCTCTTGTTAGTCCTCATCCACGTATAATGTCAAAATCCGACCCACTTATATCAATTAGGTGCCATGGTCTAGTGGTATGACGACACATTGTGGTTAGTTCGAACCTGTGTTAGCCCCGGTTCGATTCCGGGTGGCGCCAATTTTTTTTCGCCGATGATTCTTGATTCTTTCTTTATTTAAAGGGTTGACTACTAATAGCTTGTGATTCTACGAATAGCTCAATTTCTCATCTAATAGGTGCCATGGTCTAGTGGTATGACGACACATTGTGGTTGATTTAATCTGTGTTAGCCCCGGTTCGATTCCGGGTGGCGCCATTCTTTTCTCTGTTTTTGCGGACGACCCTTCGGTCTTCACAGAGATTAAACTACATACGACCGACATACAGACCGTACGAGACACGGCCCAAGTGTACTGCACGAACCGAGATTCGAGACCGCACCAGTAGCCCGCGCGGCGGGCTATGCCAACGCAACAAGTAGGATTGCCCCAACGGACGGGTAGAAGCGCCAGTCGCGCTCGTCGAGCGGTATCCCAGCGTACGCGAGACGCAATAGTCCGGAGCCGACATGAGATAGAGGCCGACGGTGATGGTGATGGTGCAGAGGACTAACCGGCATAGGCATCGTTGCCGGGAGTTTGTCGCAGTGGTGGAGGCTAGAGCTCTCAATAGCCCACAAATGGGTCCAAGCCATGGGCTATGGGCTTAGTCTTCAAAAGCCCAGCCCAACCCACAGCCCATTAATGGGCGTCAAAGCCCATCAAAAGCCCCATAAATACAGTCTTGGCACGTATAGAGTAGCTGATTAAGAGCTGGATTTTACGTATATACATACCAACCTATATATCCAGTTTCATCATATTATCATAGTATGGAGTAGAAATTTAGTAGGTATTATAGTGATTCTAGTATTATAATATCAGATTTCATACAAAATTTCGTACAACATCACCCTAAAAGGATCAAATTTGACCACGAATTCGTACGTAGAAGGATTACTACGTATTAGTATATAGAGATATATATATATATATATATATATATTAGGTCTGTACTTGGTTGCTAATTGTAGTAGCAAATTCTACCTACTATATAATTCCCTAATAAAAGCAAGTACCTCTTGTAAAAAGTGAAGCTTTATGAAAATCAACTTTGCATCTTCAAACCGTCTTTTGAGTTAATTTATAAGCTTATAAGAAGAACCTTGGAAGGTTTCTATATATAGCTTCATGTATCGCTCAGATGGTAGTTTGAATACCAAAGAAAACCAGAGAAAATAGTACATTAATTATGCAGCTACAATAAATTGGGGGTAGCCCAGCATCCGAACCTCCATGACTTCCCAACTCATCAGCTGGGCCCCCCTGATGGCCGTCCTCGGGGGTCAGTCCATAGCCATAATTTACAAAGGGTTCAAATGCGGACAGGATGTAATTCACCACAGACCATGCACCCAAGCCACGGATGCCGTCGAGATGTGCTGTACGACGGAGGGGCTTACTGCCGGTGCTGCTGTGGTACTGCAGAAAGGTTGGAAGTAGCAATGCTTGCACAGCGCGGAGCAGCCGTTTGAGCCCACGTGGCAGGGTTGGACACGCTTTCTGATGAGGGTGAGCGGTGAATGACCATGTTCAATCTGAACAAGGCGTGGGATCCCCTAGTCTAAATCATTGGGGTCCGGGAGACCGAGTTATATCAGAAGGGGGATTAGGGCTATGCAAGTCCGTAATACAATACAATACAATACAACAGGCAAATAAAGGTGAAAACAGTCCACGGGTATATATTGATATGTAATTCTCATACATCACGCCTGAAATCCCTCCATGGCGGCTTCCGCCACCCCACGCCAATTCAATACATTATTCTTTTGTGAAGCAGACAGCCATGAGGCACTTGAGAAGTCTAAATCTAAAACCAAATGAATTCTAAGAACATACAAAGGACCCGACGATCTACCTCTCACGACTTTAGTCTCATACCTCGATGTGTGCGGTCTCGATCATTGGCTTTTCATTCCCCCCAGTATCCAAAGTTCGATGGTGCCCGGGGAGAACGGGATAACCTCTAGTTGCCCAAACTCCTCCAGTAATTCCACCTCTCGAGAAGAGGTGATCGACATCCTCCAGTTCCAGGCCTTTGGTCTCGGGGAAGAAGAAAAAGACCATCGGAATCTTAGTCCAGTCAGCATCATAAAACATAAAATCGGGTTCAGAATCTGGTCATACCCAGGCAAAGCAGAAGCAGGCGAAGATGATAAATGTTTTCCATCCAATATTGTCAATCGCGGTTGGCGTAATCTGGACGACAATGACTTAGAGGGTTAGCGACGCCATTTAGTTAGTTACTTCGTATGAAAGACCAGTCGACTTACAAACACAAATCCAATTGACGAAGCCACCAAAAGCTTGAGCTCTAGCCCGAATACGAGTAGTCGAGATCTCAGAAGGATAGAACCTTGTTAATTGTTAGCAGTGGCACATAAACACGGCAAAGATAGGAAAGACCAACCAGGGAACTGGCAGATAACCAATGCCAAGGAACAGCTGGAAGATAAAGACAAACACTGTAGCTGCATATGCACATGGCACAGTGCCGATTGATAACAGAATAGCAGTCATCACGAAACAGAAACAGAGACCAGCGGCGGACACCATGAGTGATACCCGCCGACCGAATTTATCCATACTCCACAAGGGGATAACGGAGCCAACAAGGTATGCGAGAGATGGTGCAGCCGCCGAGAACCAACGATAGGTTGCGAGATAGATTCATAGCATTCTGTTTTTAAATTGTTATTAGTTTAGTTGTTCTTTTCGGCTTGGGAGAGGCATAGGAGCATACCTGGTAGACAATGGGGGCATAGTAGTTGATCATGTTAGAGCCTAAGATAAGTTAATATGTCAATTTCCTACAGCACCTGAATCGGTATTGCCCACCTGTAAACTGCTGCTGGATATTGACAACAGCAGCCAAGATCATGCGTCGAAGATTTCCCATCTGGCCACCCGACCATAGCTCCTTGTACTTGAAGGGTCCGCCAGCAGACTCAATCTCGATAGACGATTCGATTTGACGACGTAGAAGGACAACCTCCGGACTAGACTCATCAGCGGGCTGATCTAGTTGTAACCGTGCCAGGACCGACGCTGCCTCGTCACTGCGATCTTGTTCACACAGCCAGCGTGGGGAATCGGGCAGAGGAATCATCTGCAAAACTAGGCAGATGGCAAAGAAAGCCTGGAAACTGATTGGGAACCGCCACTGAACGGGTGTATCTACGAAGCTCAGTCCATAGTCCAGCCAGTATGCAATGCAGAGACCGAGAATTGTAACGGTGCCTTGAGCAGAGAGCAACATTCCACGCTGCTCTGGACGAGCTAGCTCGGATTGATATGCAGGAACAGTACTGCTGTTGATTCCGTTACCAAGGCCAGTCACAATTCGACCAACGAGGAATTGAGGGACGGTATAGGAGCTGCCGAGGATGATTGTCCCTATGATCATGATCGAACCACCGGCGATAATCATCTTGCGGCGACCGAATTTGTGTCCAATGACGAGACTGAGGAGACAGCCGACCGCACAGCCGATATCGTAGATTGAAGTAAGGAGACCCTGCATCGTGCTGTCGGGATTGTTGAATGTTTGCCCAAATTGATTGTTCGCGCCAATTAAGCCGCTCATGACGCCTTGGTCATATCCCAGGAGGAGAAAGGCCTGACAGCTTGCAGCTGTCACAGCCCAGTGTAGGTATCTTCCGCGCAGGATCATACTGTGCTTAGTCCGTTGGGGAAACTGGACAGACGCTGAGATCCGGGGCCCCAGGTCCTTTTCTCCATGTATTCAACCATTTCACTCCCATAGCATCTCGGTTCAATCTTGTCCGACAAGGATTGGCTGTTCGGTTTAATGCAACCCGGGGCCGTCATTGATATTCACCCGCGGGACGAAACAGGACTAGCGCAGTGTTTTCCCCGCGGGGTCTTCCCCACATGCCAACGAATCCTTACTCGGTTGGAGGGACAATGGATAGTCTAAGCAACGCCATTGACGCCTTATTATGAGATCCTGAGTTTCAGAGATTCGAAGACTCAGTGGCGTTGTTAATACCCTATCGGGATAGCTCAGCTTGAAAGGTCCCTCGATGCATGTTCTTCTTCTTTTTAGAACAGCTCACATTAACGTATACGCAAACGAGATTTACAACAATGTTGTATATACCTGGTATATACTTAAGGTTGGGATATTAAAGGCCTAAACTATATATACAGACGACTTCTATATGTATAGGGGATTGGCACAGGGACCCCCTTTATAACAATAGTTGATTGACCACTTATGCGACCTTGTCGTGTCTTTTTGGTCTTTTTAGATTTATTCTCGGATAGATGTCTTCTTAGGATGTGTTGGAAGCAGTAAAAGGCATCAGCAGGACACCCATCGTTCACAAAGTCAACCAGCGGGAACCCTTTCAGCGCTCGACACTAGTGCCTTCGAGCCCAACGTCTTGTTAGACCCACATCACAATCAGAATCGCTACCAGCTAAAACCGGCAAGGCGACAACAGACAACACGACAATCGTCTAAGAATCCCCAACCGAACCTCGCACGTTTGATAGTGCAAGAGACTTTTTATGTTTACACATGGATTATAGTTTAACCCGAGCTAAAATTGAAGGTAAAAAAAGCATTGGCGCCACCCGGAATCGAACCGGGGCTAACACAGATCAATACACCACAATGTGTCGTCATACCACTAGACCATGGCACCTATTAGATGTAAGAAATTAGCTAGGTATGGTATTATGAATTAGAACGGTTAAACCCCTATGAAAATCGAAAGATTGAAGGGTCGTCTATGTTGTAGGTGAAAAAAAAGAATGGCGCCACCCGGAATCGAACCGGGGCTAACACAGATTAAATCAACCACAATGTGTCGTCATACCACTAGACCATGGCACCTGTTTGACGATAACAAATTCATAATTTTGCTTTATCAACTAATCCTCCAATATGCCCTTATCTTTCCGCTTCCAGTATAATTCCGAAGCTATACATATCTTCCGGCGTACGGACATTGTCCTTCCCGCACTCCTGTTCTGAGAGAAGTAGTAGCTTTTTCGGGAGAGATAAGGCTTCATGTTTGGAACCATTCCCCTTATCACTTGTCACGGCTTTTTGAAAAAGTATATGAGCGTAGCCTGGCTGGTAGAGTCGAGAAATTCTGGTATTAGGAGCGGCCGCTCAACAAGCTGGTAGGGTATGCCTTTGTTGCAAACTCGACTGGCTGGTCGCCTTTGCCTTCCCACAACAGCACATACGACATGTTATTGTAGTACTTGGCGTACTCATACGCGAGATCTTTATAATCTTGATGAACCCAACTCTGGTATTGCTCCATGCACTGCCGCAGGATCTTCCTCACACCCTCAAAGTCATTGAGCTGTTATTTATATGTTATTCAGACCCATATCCAGTGTCCAGCGCTAGGCTGGCAGTTGCCCATTTGCCAGCCCCCCGCCCCCCAAGAATGAACAAAGCATGAACAAAGCGGCAGGCTTCCACTCGGGTGAAAGTCGGATTTTTGCTCCCCTCAATACAGTCCTGACGCCCGAGCCTGTCGAAATTACTCAACCTTGAGAGTGTTACCACTCTCTTCGGTGTAATGTGCAATATACCATTTTCAGCCAGACCGCCACTAGCTTAATAAATTGCACTGGGTTGTTCAGGGCTGCCTCAACAGATGAGCTTCAGGCCATTTCCATTTTTTACATGTGGTCATCTTGGAAATACCTTCTGACCGCCATTCCTGTCTTGTTTATGGTCCTATCAACGCGTAGCTTGGGCAGAGGGCAGCCCTTCTTTCAGATTCGGAACAATTATTGCCAGTTGCATCCACTTTATCTCTTCTACGTCGTCCAAGTGAGTCTAACTATCGCAGCATCCTGAATAGCCTTCAGGATGGTGGAACTCCCCGCACGACTGGATACCGCCGGTGGGTATTTAGCCGCAGAACCTGGGGTATACCGATAGACCCATGGCCGAGATGCCCATGGCGTCACATCAATATCTGATATTTCCTACGGCCTCGGGCATGAATCCACGCACCCCTTCGAATCGAACTTCTTCCCTGCCTCGCCGTATAATATGAGCGAGAGTAGGAAAGAAAAAAATAAAAAAGAATGGCGCCACCCGGAATCGAACCGGGGCTAACACAGAATTAAAGTAACCACAATGTGTCGTCATACCACTAGACCATGGCACCTATCGGATAGCAGGATTTAGTGATTTGTGGTATTATAAGTTACTGCAGTATAATCCCAATTGAAATAGAAAGGAAAAAAACAATGGCGCCACCCGGAATCGAACCGGGGCTAACACAGATTTGAAGCAACCACAATGTGTCGTCATACCACTAGACCATGGCACCCGTTTGATATAAGTGGGTCACTTTTTGGTTAGATCAAGTAAGGACATACCTAGGTATTGTCTTTCCTACATATACTCCGTACTCCATAGTTAGGTACATACGACGTTAGAAAACTCTGTGTTGTATGTTAAGTTTGAGGCTCTCGACATTGATATAATTGGCTGACTAATTCTCTACACTCTCCAGGGCTCTCCCTAAAAAGCATCCGCGATGAGGGAAGCGCAGCCTTACCCAAGAAAACGAAGTGTTGATGGTAGTTGTTAAAACAAACAGAAGGCATCCAAGATGACGACTAGCACTCGAACGTATCACTTATAATACTGAAGGTCAGGCTAGGGAGAATACAACATTCTTCAAATGTCTTATAAGGATGTTGCCTACGGAATAGGCACGAATCGAATGCAGCTAACTTGTACTATTTATAAGTGTCTAAGCGTTATTGTTCTGGTTTGTACCTACCAAGGCCTAATATGACATTATTATACAAATTCCTCCGATGCTGTATAGTATATTACTTGTAATAGCAAGTTACCCTAAAAGCTAGACATGGCGCACTTAAGTACGGCTGACCATAATGCAAATTTGGATTCGCTGGCAGGGATTTAGGACCAGCTCTGGGGGCATATTCTGTTGTTGTTGCAGTTAGCTGTGAGGAGTACTAACAGCGTGGTCTGTGGATAGCGAATTGAGATGCGGGGTATTGTAGGTGAGTGGCCTAGCTGGTTGACGTCTTATAGAGAGAAGCGTAGGCGACGGGTAGTCACGATAAAGCGCTTCAAATAGAGAGGCGCTTAGAGATTAACGATAAAGAGATTAACGATAATTCTAGTAGAGATACCTATGGAACGTAAAGAGGGACATTAAATAGACTCTGTGATCTGTCTTCTATGCTATGCGCGCTATATGTAATCTGGAATGCAATTTCCCAGCTATTTAGGCCAAGGCATACTTTCCCTTCCTCTTGGGCTGTTTTTAAATCTGATCGGGGGGTATCTAAAGCTTAGGCCTAGCAAGTCTCTTAGCCCAGAAAAGGAATGGAGGTATAAATCTGGACTTGGTAGAACTATATACAACGGGAACATATATTTCAATCAATTTGCGTGATTAAGCCCAGCATACCGATATCCGAGAAACAAATCAAATATATACCTCCTCACAAGCCAAGAAAAACAAAGAGGCGAAAAGCTCCAGTCTTCAAAATAAAGACATTGATCGACAAATCTCCATGACTTAGGGCGGGGAACAGATGCCAGCAGAGATGACATGTGCCAGGTGGGGTCGATCTTTTACAGCTTTCGTATATCAGTAACCAGATCCAGATATCCAAAACACAAAATACAAAGAGAACTAGAGAACCCTAACGAACTACATATCTACATCATCTCTCAAGATCATAGTCAACAAAACCACCTGCAAAATCCCAAATAAACAACCATGGACCCCACCCGGCAAGCGAACCCAAACCCAAACCCAACCGCAGACCCAGCGAACACAACAGATGACCAACAACAAAAAGAAGCCCTGGCAGCCTTTACCGCAACACTCCACTCAGTTGGAACAAACCTCGAAGCGCCGCTTCGCGACCGCGCAGCAAACATCCAATCCAACGCAGCAGCGCTGGAAAGACAAGAAGCCGAGCTAGCAGAGAATACACAGCGACTAGCACGACAGAATCAGCAGTGGGTTGGATTCGCGGATGAGACGCGCGAGGGGTTAAAGGAGATCGGGGATGTGCAAAATTGGGCAGAGATGATTGAGCGTGATTTGCTGGCCTTGGAGGATATGATGGATGTTGTTGAGAACGGTCATGGGGAACATGGGAGTGAGGATGGTGATGACCAGAGGGATAGTGATACGGATCTGAATGGGGCTTTTGAGAATGGCACTGTAAATGGGCAAAATGGATATGTTGATGTTGATGCTAATGGGAAGAAAGTGGATCAGTCGGCGAAAGGGTGGTTGAAATGGTGGTGATGGGGTTCATGTCTTTATTCATTTGATTTGTTTTACATATATATCACGCACAGGGTATCGTTGTGAACTACTCCTCGTCTTCTTATTCTTCCTCCTCTTCATCATCTTCATCTCCTTCCAAGTATTGTTTCCAAGGGTCGAGTCTTTCGGTTTCCTGAAATTCATTCCATTCATCCCATTGGCCCAAACTCATCAAGTGTCGCATCGTCGGCCGACCATGGGGACAGTTCCACGGTTTATCGATAGTACCCATGTTCTGAACGACTCGTTCCATCTGACGGCTTGTCAAGGTCTTCCCGACCATGATACTTGAGCGACAAGCGCGCATAGCAAACATTTTGCGCACTTTGCCTGGCCGTGGTACTGATAGTCCATCCGAGGTTGAAATTGACTCCGACAGCAGCACAATCAATTCCTCCAGATCTCTTACGCCGAATACCACCTCCTTGCTCAGGGGTAATGAGACTAGTTGACATCGACGACCGATAGGCTCATCGCCGCTTTCGTCGACAGTCACGAGGAAACCGTTTTTCTCAAGAGCGGCGCGGTTCTCAAGGACAACCTCTTCTTCAACGGCAGTGAGATCAAGGCGTTGCGGACGGACGAGTCGCTGGTTTTGCACCACGGTTTCAGCTTGCAGGCGCTCGAAGTTGAATTTCTCATCAGAAGCATGCTGGTCGATGATGAAAAGCTCATCGTGGTCTTCTCCTGGACGGACTGCAATGATGAAGCCCAAGTTGAACTGGCCGATGATACGCATCTGGGCGAAATCGTTCTTGCTTACAGTCAAGGAAAGCTTGTCCTCGGCGGTTTTCTCCCCAAGGTCAGTGGCTTCATCTTGCGTTTTCTTGGTCCCCGCTTGCATGGTCTTTTGCAATGCGATGAGTTGAGACTGGATACGTGAAATAGACCCATCTACCTTGCCGATAAGTTGTGTAGTCGCCTCGCGATGCGCAGCGCCCTTGCTCATCTTCTTTGCACGATTCGCATTGTTTTCCTGGGGAAGCACAGCAGTCTCCTCGGCTTCGTCGATGAGCCGTTGAACTATAGCTTCTTCCTGCGCCTTCTTCTGAGCTTCGTCGAGATTCTCATCTGCGGCAGGTACCTCGGTGTTTCCGGTTTCTGATTGAGCCCCACCTTGGTCCGGAGCATACTCGGCATCCTCGGGCGGAGGAGAGCCCTCATCTTCGGGCTCTTGCTCAGTGCCTTGTGTATCCTCGATTTCGCTTGAAATGTCATCTTGATCCTCTTCAACCTGGTCATCCTCACTAGCAGAAGTCTCTTCGTCTTCTTTATCATCCAGCTGCGATCCAGGTGCCGCAAAAGATTTCATATGTTGACCAAATATGTTAGGCCGTGATGGTGTGTGTATCCGTCTCTTTCGCCGAGGCGGCTCCCCCATTAGAGGTGGATCTTCCGGGACTCGTTTTCGTGGGGGACCACTACCGACCATGGAAGTTATAGTTCGGTTACCAATAGTGATGGTGGCTAGTTCGGCGGGTTCGCGCCGCGGACGCATTCTATCGAAGGCATTTTGGACAATGCTAGGGATTTCTTCTAGGTCTCCACGAACGCGAGATGGAGTCTCGTCAGGAGCTGATGGATGGGACGAGGGTTCGTGGGAGATAGAGGTTGACTCGGGCCCCTCCTGGGAAGTTTGTCGCACAAAAAGCTCATCGTCGGAGATTGCCTCAGCAGGCGTTTCTACCTCAGTTGGAGCTGGCGTCGACATCGCAGAGCGACTGGTTGCAGCGCGGGGTGTTCTCATCGATCGAGCGGGAGATGGCGTAGCTTGCACACTTCCCACGCTCGCTTGTGAGCTCGCGAAACGCTGAATTGCACTCTGTTGACTCGTCCCCGGGGTCTCTACTAAGCTTTCTTTCGTCCGATCTTGGCTTGGACTTCTAAGCCCACTGCTTTCGCTCAGCTCTCGAGCAGTGACGAACCCTGGAAGCGATGCTAGTGGTTGCTGCTTTGGCAAAGGCTTTGATTTAACCGATGACTGCGGCACAGTTTGATCCGCATCCTCGAAGAGCTGCGAAAGAGAAACTTTGAGAGATTCAATCATAGCCCCCGCATCATGAAGTAGAATCTGGCGCTTATCAGGCGAAACATTGACATCGTAAGCGTTTGTATCCATCTGAAAGTCCGCAAAGATAAACGCCGACTGCGAGACGTTGAACGACTTGTAAACCTCATTAAACGCCTTCTGAATCTGCGGTAGGCCACATGGCCGCGAGTTGACAAAGAACATCTGACGATCCGGAGTCTGACGGCCCTCGCCGAATACAGGACGTGAGATATGGCCTCGCACCTGAATTTTACTCAGTTGATCATCGCCAGCCCGTTTCGAAGCCGCGGCAGGCTCAAACTCCAGATCTAGATCAAGGGATATCAGAGCGGATAGTGTCTTCGCGCCATAGACATTGGCAATATTCTCCTTGGTTGTCTTATTTCCATTTGTAGAAAAGATTACCACGTTCCGTGTCTTGCCCACTGTGTTTCTGACGCTGAATCGGACTCCAGTGCTAATGCATGCATAGGCATGCAGCAGATTCAGAACCTTCCCATATTCCCGCTTGATGTTCTTCTCCAATTCTCGTCGACGTACTGGAAGCCGCTTGAAAATGCCTTCTACCGATGCGGTCGTTCCTTTCTGCCCAGCAACGATCTGTATCTTTCTGAGTTTCCCGGATTGTTCAAAATCGAGTCGATTCGCGCGAGGAACCTGCTTTTCTTGTGCTGTGACGATGTGGAAGTCGGCCAACGCGCAGAGTGAGGATATCGCCTCGCCGCGGAAACCGAAGGTGTGCAGGCTCGAGAGGTCATCGTATGACGATAATTTGGAAGTATAGTGTTTCAATGCTGAGAAAAAGAGAAAATCAGTTTGAGCGCAATGTACCAAGGGAGAAGGATCAACTCACCGACGTTCTCATAGTTCTCCGGCGATATCCCGCCGCCGTTATCTTGGACTTCAATCAGGTCCAGTCCATTATTTTTAAATCGAACCTCTGAAACCCACGAAATCATCAGAAAATATGTCACCAACCATACCCAGAAAGTTATTCACCCACCGATCGTCGTTGCACAGGCATCCAGACTGTTTTCAACAAGCTCTTTAGCGACGGAGCACAAGTCAACGATGACTTGACCCGATTGGATTTGGTGTACCTGATTAATGCACTGGTCAGATCAAGACTTCGTGGGTAGACATCGGATATCATACAGAGCGGGCCTCGATGGCTTGGATTGTCGCCATCTTCATCCCATGATGTCTGCGGAAGACAAATCGGCACGCGTCTCACTTAACGCGTGGGTTTGCCAAGACCGGGCCGGTTGGATATGACAGCTCTATACATTCGATGAGCCCTTATTCTATTTTATCCAAGGCTTTATTTGCACTACAAGAATGTGGATATGTTTATTTAATTGTTCAACACTGCAATTACAGATATAAATCAAAACGACAATCAGGAGCAACCTATCGCTGTTAACGCGCAAAATCAATCCCAAGAAAAAAAAACTAATAAACACCAAAGCGATCCGGTAGCATAACAGGCGCGACCAGAGTCCATAGATAGATAGCATAGCAAATCCAAGCGCTGACAATCTTCACCCAGCTGGCCCAGTATGTGCGGCCCACCGGTGCGAAATCTGTCGTGGTCTCCAGCGTCAGTCCCTGGACTAACAAAGTGGCCACCCATGTCGTGGCGAGGAAGAAGATGATGTGGAAGAGCGAGTAATTATATTGGGTTGAGCCACGCTCGTCGTCCTTCGCGGTGTCGTAGTCATCCTCGTCATCACTATCATCCAGGGCACTGGCAGGAAGACTGCCGCTCTCGACAGCAGCCCGGAGAGCTTCAGCGCGCATCTCCCGACGGACGTTTGGTTGCTGAGTCACCAAACCGTGCTCGTTGTCATCTGTACCCAGCTGGATATAGTTGTGACCGCCCTTCGACCCCAAGGCAATTCCTTGGGTGGCAGCGCGTGTGGTGGTGTATGCGATGGTCAGCATAGTGACAATCGCACCGATAATGATAGTGGCAGTCCTGCGTCCGCGGGACCGAATGAGGGGGTTGCAATTATTGTCATCAGGTTCCATTGAAACGGCAGACATGGTGAGGTAGGTGCAGTAGACAGTGACCATTGCAGCTTGAGCCAGCCCTGCGCGAGAGTTCGATTCTTGCACTGCCGGTTGAACAGAAACGAAAGAGATGATCAAAAACACGACCAGGTTAATCTGTGACGAGTCAGTTGGGCAACAAGATTCGTGGTATGGGGGATACATACGGTGATAGCAGCCTGGTTCATAGAGCAGCCGCTTTTCGCGAAAAAGATGTACATCAGGATGGTCATGGCGAAAGATGCCAAGTACATGCCGAGGGTCGAACCAATAAGCAGACCGCGCCATACACGAGAGTCGCTGTCTTCGATCTTCTGCAGACATAGCTCCGCCCACGAGTGCGCAAGGTCCACCAAAAGGATCAAACCCAAAAGCAGAAAGAGCATGGCGCAGAAGAATGCGATATAATTGCCATAGACGAAGAAGAAGGGTTCGGGGATAAAGAAGGACATGACGACAAAGGCCACCCAGAGGATGACTTTCGGACCCCAAAATCCATTCTGGAGAGCGGCGCGAGTATCTTTCGAGCTTTTAACCCCGAGAAGCAAAAGGGCGAGGATCAAATGGAAGAGACCGAGGGCAAAGTTGATACGATGGACCGCGACCCAGCCGTGACATTCCTTCCCGTCGCATCGAATCTCCATGTAATCTAGGGTCAAATTTTGCAACTTTTTTAGAGCCCATGGTGTGAGCATAATCCAGGAGATTATGGAATTGATCAAAAGGATGAAGGCATAGGCTATTCTCGTCGCCATACTGTTGTCTTTGTTAGTCCGAGGTTCTCCGCACTAGGCAGCTGATAAGTGGTACCTGTTTTGAAACTTTCCGCAGGCGCTGCAGACCGCAGAACATGTCGCTGCTCCACAGCATGATGTTGCGACTGTCAATAGCTGTTGGGGAGGCGAATCAAGTTAGCCAACTGTGTAACGAGCGTGAACTGGAGATTGGTAGACGACAACGTACTGTACCAACACTTGGCACGGCCATGAGCGGAATGGAAAGGAGGGCACCCATCTTGGGAGTGCAGATATCGTAAAGCCCACTGTTCTGGTTCTAATATAAAACCTTGGAAGTGAGTCTAGATCCAGAATCGATGAGAGTGTGGAGAGAGGCAAGTGATCAGAATTGAAGATCATCTGAGGCCGCCTCCGTCATGAGTGTTACATAATATCTCCAAATAGATATCACGTGTCGAGTCTCTTTTGGCCTTCCCATTTGGGATTAGCCTCTCCACCCCCACCATGATTCTTTTTCATAGCACTGAAGGAACTATACAAAGGTAGTGATTTACTTAATATATTATATTCGAGTCGGGTTTCTAGGTGCTGACGAGATCATCTACGATGAAAGAAAAGTGATACGCTTATCTCAAGACAATATAGAGAATATGTGTATATTGAGGATAGGATGTCGTATATATGCGAAGTAACGGGTTTCCTCTCACGAACTATTCTCTCTGCTCAATTGAACTTGGCGGGAATTGACGGTGTAGGTGATATTACAAAGCTCCAAACCCTGCCTGAATGTATAATATACTTTTATGGACAGCAGGGCAGATGACAAATAGAAACCGTGTTGATGTTGTTTTAACCGGTAAAATCATAGTGTTGTCGTAAAAACCAGGCATTAACGAGGTCTTTTAAGGCATCCAATCTCAACATTTAACGCCTTATCGCGTGTGGAGAAACCTTGGAAACGCATTTGGCCGTGTAATCGAACTATGACGAGTCCCGATTCGCGCAATCCCGGAGGATTTGACGGCTTTGCATAATCTTGATGTGTGTGTTATCAGGGATGCAACGTGGGTATATCCACTACATTCCTCTCTCTCCTTTTTTTCCGTTTCCCTTCACAACTTCCTCGTTATAAATCAATTCACTTCTCCATCGTATTTGTATATCAGTTGACGTGGAGCAAACTTTCCTTGGCGCTTTGCTTGACGGTTGTTACGACCACGCGGCCCCCCGGGATCATCTCCAAGTCCTTACCTAAGTGTACGCTCCTGAAAACTCCCCCAGTGGCCTTTTTCCCTCAATTCCTCCTATATAATCCCAGTCGCTCTTTTCACTATTTTCGTCTTTCATTTCGGGTCCGATGTTTCTATCAGTACCGGCCGCACATCTGTCTAGGGCCTAATCAACCGCTCCCGCCGCTAAACAACTCGTATCGCATAAGATAACTATCAGCCAAAACGACTCGCAGAGGAACGACATAATGTCCGAGTCTCTCCACCGAACTGCCCGGATTATTTCCGTCATTGCGGGGACGCTGGTCGCCCTGTCATGCGGAACCAATGTACGTGATATTTCCGATCTAAGCCACATTCAGGATCATTAAGCTCAACTTGTGTCAGTATGCATACTCCGCCTGGGCGCCGCAATTCGCACAGCGAATGAAGCTCTCTTCGACCGAGAGCAACTTTATTGTGAGTTGTCCTGTGTCTGGTGCCGGGAAGCGGGTCTTAACAAGCTCTTAGGGTGTCGCGGGGAACCTGGGGATGTATGCTATGGGGATTCCAATGGGATTATTGACAGATTCCCGCGGTCCACGACTTGTTGCGCTTATCGGCTCTATTTGCCTGGGCCTGGGCTACTTTCCAATCTATCTGGGTATGTCTTGATATTAGCGTGCCAAAATTGAGCAGCTCTAATGTTTTATAGCATATGATAATGGGCGGGGATCGATGCCGGTTGTCTTCCTCTGCGTATTCACTTTCCTTACTGGAATGGGCGGTTGCGCTGCCTTTGGCGGTGCCATTAAAACAGGTATGTTACATACTCACACCAAGGACTCTGCTTGATAGAGTTAACACAATGATTCCAGCGGCAGCCAATTTCCCCGAACACCGCGGCACGGCAACCGCTTTCCCGATGGCCGCTTTTGGACTGAGCGCGCTATTCTGGTCCAATCTGTCAACCCTCGTTTTCAAGGACGATACCGGCCGCTTTCTCTTGCTTCTAGCCCTCGGAACCTCGATTCTGTCCTTTGCCTCAATTCCATTCCTTCGAATTCTCCCCGGCGAGCCGTACTCGTCCATCCCACACAACGCACACGAACACAACCCCAGCGACCTTCGATCTGTGCCAGAAGACTCCGATATACATGGCTCTACCGCTTTTGATCGCGAACAATACCCCGCGCATGCGCGGTCGCACTCGGTCGCATCGAACTCCCAAGGAAGAGCATTCGCCAATGACGACGAGACTTCCACCTTGGTATCCAAGCACGACCACCCACGTCCCTCTTTCGATACACTTGACGATGATTTCCTGGATGAAGTGGCCATCGAGGCACACCAAAATGACATCAGAGGTCTTGCCATGCTCCGCAAAGTCGAGTTCTGGCAGCTCTTCTTGACCATGGCACTCTTGTCCGGTATCGGTCTGATGACCATCAACAACATCGGCAACAGCGTGAAGGCCCTGTGGCTATACTACGACGACAGCGCAACAGACCTGTTCATCCAACACCGCCAGGTCATGCATGTCTCCATTCTTTCCTTTGGCAATTTCCTCGGCCGTCTATTCAGCGGTATCGGCTCTGACTTGCTAGTCAAGAAGCTCGGCATGTCCCGCATCTGGTGTTTATTCTTCTCGGCGGTGGTATTCACCCTGACCCAACTAGCTGGCACCACCATTTCCAACCCGAACAGCCTGGTCGTTGTCTCCGGTTTTACCGGAATTGCTTACGGCTTCCTGTTCGGCGTCTTCCCTTCCCTAACGGCACACACTTTCGGTATTGGCGGCCTGTCCCAAAATTGGGGCGTCATGACGCTAGCCCCAGTGTTCAGTGGTAATGTTTTTAATTTGCTATACGGTAGCATCTACGACAGACACTCTGTTGTCGGCCACGATGGCGACCGCGAGTGTCCCGATGGACTGGGCTGCTACCGCTCGGCCTATTTCATGACTTTTGTTTCCGGGTTGTTTGGCATCGCTGTTTGTCTGTGGACCATTATCCGCGAGAAGAACATCAATAACGCTATGAGCAAGAAACTTGACCACCGACTCGCGTGAGTTTGATGATATTTTCCCCGTCAATTTGGATTATCTAGGTGCAGCATGACCTACGTGGCAAGCATGAGCTTTTGAATTGCTTTCTTGCTTGCACATTTACCTAGATCTTTTTGCGATTTGTTATGACTTCTCATAGAGAACATTTTATGAGGGATATTATTTGGCTGGTGTCCTCACTCGGTATACCCATGATGCACTGTTTTCTCTATAGACTTAGTACTTCACGTCTGGCTTTCTTTCTTTGGTTTATCCTAGCTTTCCCTGGGCCAGAATCTGGTCAATTTCATTACTGTACATTTGAAGATCATGCTGTGTTCTTCAAACCATCTAAGTAGTTATCAGCTTCGGTCTTAATGTAAGTGGAGGATGTCCTTCAATATTCATTCTCAATTGCATACATGTACCTTGCCACCACATCTACACTATGTTCAAACGAGATCTCAAGATTGATACGAGTCGAAGATTTGTATGACACTTTCATTTTCCTCCTAGCATACATGTACATATCGCAACATAGAAAGCGAGAACGTTCGTTTAAATCAATCAAAGACAGAAAACCCAGCCCGCAGACCTGGCAAGCTGGGCTGAACAATCAAAAACGGTTGCATTGCTTTGTAAAAGCAGCAAACTGAAATAATAATGATTGCAAGCACCACCTAGCACACTGAGAGAGACATCCTAGGCAAAACGCCCAGATGACAGGGCATTTCCCAGTTGGACCACCGATCCATTGATATTCCGGAGACTTGAATTCTGGAAGAAGAGAAGGATGGGGGCCAAGTATTGTATTAGAAGCATAGTGAAGGAGTTCGTACAGCAGCACAGCGCAAGGAAAAGCAAATTAAAACAAGACGTTTGAGGAAACGTCCGCAGTTAAGAAAGTAAGGGAAATTGGAAATTGAGACCGTTCAATAGTATGTGGCTTTTTTTGGGGGTTAAAGTTCCAGTCAGTGATGACGAAGGAGCCATGAAGGGTATCAAGAATATCAGAGGTTGGGAGCAGAGTAGCAAGCTTAATATAGGTCGAAAGCTTGTACTACCCGTGGACCGATGATGGAGTGAAATAAGCAGTTGAGAAAGGGCCGGAAATAGCAGGGTACCGCAAGGCCTAAACGCTCTTGGGAGATTTGACCAGCACATCCTCACCAGATTCCACAACATCCGACAGCCGGATCTTTTTTGCGACTGGTTCGCCGGACTCGGCGTCGCCAGTGCTGTTGGAACCAAGCTGACGTTCAAGGTCGCTAACACGACGCTTGAGATCCTCCTCGCGGCGCTGGGAATCCTCGAGGGACCGTCTCAGACGAACCTCGGAGTCTCGTACAATCATCTCCGATCGACGGGCGCTGGCATCACTCTGTTCGAGTTCCGTGACACGACCACGGAAGAGCTCGTTGACGAACTCAAGTTCACTAACGCGTGTCTTCAGGGATGTATTGAGGGCCAGGAGGCTTTCGAAAGTGTGGGGGGAATCGAGTTGGCGGTCGACTGCCGAGGGAGAGGGTTGGCGCATCTGGCGGGAGGGAAGGCCGCTGGAAGAGGTCATGCTGTCGCCCAGGGTAACACTGTCGAACATGTGCTGCGGCGCGATATTCGAGTTGTGCGCGTGCATCGAGCCAAAGCCAGGTGTCTCGGTCCGGGAAACGGGGGAGTTGGAGCGATCCGAATGACCCGAGGACATCTTGCGCGTCGCGCGACTGTATCCATGCGAGCCGAGGGGAGGGGTCCCCGCCTCAGATCGCGATTGGATGCCATTGGTATCGACAGGGCCGCCAGACTACGGAATCACAATCTCGATTAGCGCATATTCTTATCTAAGAAAGGTGGAACTTGGAGGCAGGGGGACTGGTGGAGGAAAATTTTTTAATCGCGAACTCACCTTGCGCTTAGGGCCCTGGCCGGTCTTCACGCGATTGCGACTTTTAATCACATCCGTTTTCAAGCTTATCGGACGAGATCGGCCATGCAGTTTCAAGAAGAGTCCACAGGCATTGCAGAGGACTGAACCGAGTTCGTCCCTACGCCACAGAGGGGTGGTGGAGGTACCGCAATTTTGGCAAACGGGCTGTAATTGAGGTTGCTTGTCGTTAGTCAATGTGGTCGCCATTATGAGGGTATAGAAGTTGGGAAGAGGAAGAGGATGATAAGATTGTGAGAGATTCGAGTCGATAAGGAAAGGGAAAAAGCGGGTGCACGGATCGAGTGGCGCCAAGACTTTTGATAACTCCCAAGAGATAAGGCCTCGCACGATAACAGTTTCTTGATATAAGGGCCATATTTCACACTTACAGGTCCACTCCCTTGTCCTCCTGTCGTAGCTGCCGGTGATGATGTAGCGTATGTCATATTTGCCATATTCATACTCGCATCACTGGATGAACTAGAAAAAAGGAGTTAAAATGTATGGATTAGCCATTGATTCAAATTCTTATGAGGGGCCGGATTACTGCTCTCCATGGCCCGATTGAAGATTACGCAAACAAGATAGATCGTCCAAAGGTCCACGAATGGTTTCCATTTAGAATCTGTATGGGGTATCAACACACCGAAGATTAGATGTAGGTGCTGAAGCGACCGATGCCAGAGCTGCGAGTCCAGGAAGCGATGTGCTAACAGAAGAGCCTGGATATCCGTCGCTCTCGCCTGAGCCGAATTTGGTCACGCTCTTGATATCCGGTAGTGTCGTAGAAAACGGTATGGATCCGTTGGACGCGTGACGGGCGGAAGGATTCTCGGCGGACAAGTCGTAAGGGAACTCACGCTCAGGAAGAGAACCAGATTTGAGAGCCGGGTCGATGGGCGACGCCCGATAGAGGGTGGAAGCCACGGTGGAGGGGAGACGTAGGTGTCAATTGAAATCCGGCCTTAGACCGAATTGAAGGGGAAACGGTATGTATCAAGCGAGTCGCGCGACGGATGTGATTGGGAACAACGAACTCGGAGCAGGACTCGGAGTCAATGGGTCTATATCAAAGCCAATTTCTCAGTGATCAATGCGATGTAGAGTTGCGAGCAATGATTCTCGATACCGTAGAGGAGAGAGAGTATTAGACTTCCCGACAATTATTGTGTCTGAAGAAGTTACCAAGACCGAAAAAGAACGAAGTTTTAAATTAACGACATGATGGCCGAAGATAGGTGAGGGTAGGGGTTGAAAGAAGATGCAGAATTGAGAGGGACGATAAGACGCGATAATAACAATCGGGATAACGATTGCCCCAGTATCAACCATTATTTAATACAGCATACAATATATGTCAGGGGTCAATTCAATTAACCTACTCTGTTCTGCCTCTTCATTCTAGACCAGCCTCTTGATACCAGGAAGCCCGACAATCAAATCCATTTTGCGCTATCTGATTTGCCTATGGGTGATCAACCCGTGGACTCCAAGAAGGAGTTTTATGCGTACAACAGCTGTATAAAATTTCCTGCACCGGAGCGGATATTTGCCAGCGTGGCGAATTCACCAACATTGATACAACAGTATGGAGTTGCCATCCCCTGAATATCCCAAATCGTCATGGAGGGGTTTTATATGGAGACCAATTGCGGTTCTAGCCATGTTTCAGGGCTCTGAACACACAGCACTCGATGCATCCATCCATCGAGACCCCTTTCGATCAGGGGGGTGGAGACAAGAGTGTGGCGGTGCGTAATTGTATAACGGTCATTAACAAGGTGGATCTGCCCGCGTCACACAATTTACTGCATTCTGCCCCTAATTACAACACCGCCCATGTAAATTATCTGTAACTATACTTTCGGGACGCCCCCTTGGGCGTCCGGACATAGGTGACACTTATTTCAACTGCCTTCACTCTATCAACTCTCTATCCTATCCACCAGCGGTCTTTTCATTCTCTTGTCTTCTCTGTGATGGATTAACCTGTTTTGGTGTCCTTTCGTTCTTTTGCCGGCCTTTCTCTCATTTCCCTACGGCTTATTTTGCCCGTTTTCATCTCCCCATAGATCGAACCACCCTCAATCACAATGCCGAAGACTCGTCCTGCCACCTCGGGATATGCCCGGCTCGCCCAGGCTGAAGAGGAACGAGGTTACCTTCATGATGAATCAGAAGACGAAGACATCGGCGCATTATCAACAGCGTCCACCTCCGCTCCCCGATACGCCCCCATCTCCTCCAGAGCCCAGATGCAGGCGTCCGGTCTCCACACTCCCCCCGGCCATCGACGCAGACACAGTGGTTTCCAGCATCCTCGAGGTCGTCGGAACTCCGGGGTGGATATCAAAGCCATCAATGCGCGTCTCGAAAAATGGGCGGACGAGATTGCCTCCAAATTCAAGATCAACCGTGTCAAGGGCAAAAGCTATGAGGAGGAGAAACTGGAGATTTATCATTCAGTCTTCCAGGCACCTCCCGGAGTTACCCCTGTGAGCGCCGAAGTTCTCGAGTCAGATGAGTTTGAGGCCCAACAACGGCGGGCCCACGCCGAGTACGAGGAGATTATCGAAAGCGTGCGTCTTGCAATTGAAATGGATGTACATCCTCGGATGATCTCACAAGGAAGTTCGGGCAGCTATTTTGCTCGAAACCCTGAAGGGAAAGTGGTGGGTGTGTTCAAGCCAAAGGACGAAGAGCCGTACGCGTCACGAAATCCCAAATGGACCAAGTGGATTCACCGCAACTTGTTTCCCTGCTTTTTCGGCCGGGCGTGTCTCATTCCTAATCTCTCCTACGTCTCCGAAGCCGCTGCATACGTTCTCGACGCCCGCCTACGCACGAACCTTGTCCCCTACACCGGGATTGTACGACTGTCTTCGAGATCGTTCTTCTACGATTTCTGGGATAGGAGAAGGGCATGGAAAGGCAAAAAAGTTCTGCCTCCTAAGGCTGGTAGTTTCCAAGTCTTCCTCAAGGGATTCAAGGACGCCAACATTTTCCTCCGAGAACATCCCTGGCCTGACCAGGCGAATACTGGATTCCGCACCCAGGATGCCCCGAAGCGCAAGAAGCGGCCATGGAACGAGGCCTGTCGTCCTTCCGGGGCACAGTCAGACGATGAGGATGACGAAGATCCGGGCTATGTGCCCTCGCCCGCCGGTTCGCGCGACGAAAGTACTGAGCGCCGATTCTATTGGACCGAGAATCTCAAGCAATCCTTCCGCGAAGAGTTGGAGAAACTTGTGATTCTGGATTATATCATGCGAAACACCGATCGAGGTCTGGACAACTGGATGGTCAAGATTGACTGGGGAACAGAGCAAGTTTCTATCGTGGCGGAGCCCCCAAAACAAACTGGGCCACAGCCTAAGCACGACGAAGACGAGCTCACGCCCCCAGCTCGTCCTGTTTCCGTGAACTCGAATGGCACCCCCAATCCCTCCTTCCACCCCTATAAACGGCATGAAACAATGATGGCTATCAGTCGCACGGGGACCCCACTAGCCTCATCGGAACAGTCAGCTTCTGTCCAGCTTGGTGCCATTGACAACAGTCTGTCCTGGCCATGGAAACATCCAGACGCTGTAAGTTTTCGAATTCACGTGTAATTGTTACTTTCCAACACTAACAACTTTTGTAGTGGCGCAGTTTCCCCTTCGGTTGGCTTTTCCTACCTGTTTCCTTGATCGGGCAACCCTTCTCGCAGAGAACACGTGACCATTTCCTTCCATTACTGACATCCACAGCCTGGTGGAGTGGTACACAGATGGCCTTGCGTGGTGTCTTTGCTCAAGATGATGATTTCAAAGAGAGCATGTTCGCTCGACAGATTGCTGTCATGAAAGGTCAAGCCTGGAATGTGGTGGAAACATTGAAGCAACCGGATCATGGCCCGCTTGAGCTGACTCGACGGACCCGAGTCTGTGTATGGGATGACTTGGTTGACGTCCCTGTTGCTATTCCGATGCGCGCGCCTTCCACAGACAGGCAAAGGAACCAATCTATGAATTACGACCCTGATGAAGAAGAGATGGATATTGGTGCATCCGCATCTTCCCAACCAATTCCCGAACACGATTTATTGGGACTGAATTCGTCGCCAAGCGACCTTCCCAACCCAAACCGGTTCGAACTCACCCGCGGTCGGACTGACGTTGACAGCGGACGTGCTGATGGTTCTGTCAGTAGCCCTGCGACTATAAATGACTTCGGTGGCCGAAACACCGGAGGTTCTCTAGATGGATGGCCTTCACTTCCTCCCCGCCAGCAGAAGTATCGCAAAAACGGCGGGGCCACGCCCTTCCGCGTTCCTCATGTTAACACTTTTGGCAGCGATGATCTCGAAGGTGACCTTGGCTATGCAGTTGCAGAGGGCATGGAAGGCAATCAGCGCAAGGTGATTGTCGAGCGCCTGGAAGCAGTCAAGAGCAAAAACCCTGTTTTCACCTGGTGCTAAGGTCAGATTGTGTTATACTACCTTTTGCATTTTTGCATTTTTGCACTTTTTTACAATCTTCTCTTACTTCTTTTTCATTTAATTTGCAGCCATCTTCTGCGGCGTTGTCTTCTCGGGGTATTTCTTGGGTCCCGTCCTTAGGGAAACGGTTCCCAATTACTGTTCACGATTTCGACTATGCCTTTTTTTTTCCTGTGACATTACACAGTAGTCCTTTGCTGGACATGCTCATGATTTGGGGGATTTCCGTGTTGTATATAGACATTCTCTGGCCGTTGGGGTTGCCTTTGGCTGTGGCGCATTGATTGGGCGATCTGCCTCATGTAGCATATTGACGAGACTTAATTCCATGATACCTTTATCACCTAAGTTTTTGTATTACAGCTAGCTAGTAGCGACATGTGACTCTAGTATGTCACAAGGTATAAATCCTAACCAAGCTGGGGTAGGGATAACCAGTAGTCGGCTTCGAGGACTCCAAAATCCCATAGCGTTGAAAATAATGCCAGGATTTGACACAATAGTCCTCATGTAAGACTGCCTGCATGACATTGTTTTGTGAGACATCATCTGAGCTATCGCAAACACGCCTGGGCTAGGTTCAAATAGATAAACAATCCATAAACGTGAGTATTCACCTGTTTAGATACCTATATGCAAGAATAGTCGGCCGCATATGCAGCCTTGTCACATCTTTTGTTATTGAAGGTCATTTGGAGGTCTTTTTAGATGTGATTCTTAGTAGTCTTTTTGGTAGTCTTTTGAAGGTCCTTTGGAGGTCTTGTTAGATGTGTTCTCATATCGTGTTCTGTGTTATAGGCGGTTAAAAAGGCTGGAAATGTGTACAGCGACTCTTCTATGTAGATTCTTTGATATATGTAGCATATACCATGAATTAGAGTATCATACAAAGAGATAAGACCCTTGAGATCTAATATATCTCCGCAATCTATAAAAATGATCCGGGGGCGACTAAGCACGGTGGATACCTCGTTGCACATTTAGATGCATACACCTTTTGCTCTCTTATATTTTAAATATTTTTAAATATTATTTTTCCTAGACTCGCCAACTTGCCAGCTTTTCTATAAGTTAATATATATCCATTCAAGTATCTACAAGGTTGCGTTCCACGCTAATATATACTATACTTAGATACCCGCAAACGCGCGCGAACTGATAAGATCTTATCGGCGGGTTTCTCCGAGGCACCGACTTCAGTGGAGGAACAACTTCGTCATTTCGAGTTTCTAGCGATACGACTGAGCTGACGACTGACTCGAGCAAACAAGTCGCGCGAACCGAAATACGCACGGCGAGAATACTCGAGGTCAAGGACACTCCCCTCGACCAACACAAGAGCCGGCCACAAACCTGATCACACGATTCGATTCCCTGGACGAGGCAAACGACAAGGCGCCGACTGGATTGCGACCAGGAAAACGACGTGATTTACCCTAGGGTATAGACGTTGACGACCGAGACAAACAGCGCAACTAGTGTTGCCCACGATTCTCTTGAATACCTCTCACTTTCAATGACGCCGGATATTTCGCGTCTCTCGCGTCTGGAAGACGCACCTTTCGTTAACCAGACCATTTGCGTAACCACTCAGCTGCGACGTTAATCTTTGATAGCGACACCAAGGCTCAAACGCCTTGAACTTGAACGATCCGCCCTCACAAACAAAACCCACGACAAGTCAGGCAGATAAGCAATCCCAAACTGCAATCGCCTATCTCTCATCCCAAACCACCTGACACCGCGGCGAATATTTCTCAATTTCGATTTGCACATAAAGCTTTCCAGTCTGAAGGAACTGGGTCCTCTACTCCATTCACAGCAAGTGAAACCAATAACCTGCCCTGTTCTCTCTCTCATCAACTGACTTCCATCCGTTCGCTTTCACAGCACCACCCAACATTGGATCCGACCAAACCTTACCCCGGATTTCTCAACCGCATTTGAGACATCATGGCGTCTCATGCTGCGATGCTTCTGAATCCCAAGGGCTCCAAAAGACAAGCTCAAAGCAATGGTAATCCTCCCTTTTCTTCTTCCCCAGCGAGTGGTTTGCCTCCCATGGACGCTGTCGATATGCCCTGCAAGGTTGCCTCAGACAACTCTGAGCCTATGACCTATTCTCCTGCGCTTTCTTCCCCTGATTCTTCTGGTCCCTCTTCGCATGATTCTTCGCTCCCTTGCGTGGATACAATGGACACCTCGGCCACGCCTAGAGCCCTTCTTGACGCATCTGAGGCTCCTGTCCATCTTGACACCCAGATGGATACTCAGGACATGAGTACGGGCATGATGCATCCGGCCGAATCTTGTGCCGCTTCTGCCCCTCAGATGGAGACTTCGGTTATGCATGCGAAGTCTTTTGGCCCGAGTGACTTTCCCTCCCCTTGTGCTCCCAATTCGCTTGATCCATCTTCGAGTCTTTCTTCTCACGATTCATCTTCTCTTGTTACTTTTCCCCCGGCAGACCCCATGCTTCTCGACCCCACGGATTCCCAAGGCTTACTTTTGGAAGGTCTAGGAAAAAAACAGGGAAATGGGTCATCTCCTGCCTCTCCCATGGCTCCCACAGGCACTGCAGCTGCTATACGCTTTCATGAACCCACCATTCACACCTCCCCAAATGTGCCGTCGGGAATTTCGACCCCGGCTGTGAAGTCTGAATCCAGCCTGGCAGTGCGGTTCAGCACCACCCATGATGAAGACAACGAAAGCGACACGAAAAGAAGTCACCATGAGATGAGTGACGACGAGGACATCATCCGCCGGCCCAATTTGATCGAAGATATCTATGGCGTTGAAAAGCGGAAGAACCAACCAATGAAAAAAATAAAGACTGACCATGACGTGGAAGAGAAGCCGAACATGGCGACAGCACCAGTGTCGATCTCTGGAGATAGCGGGCTTGGGAAGTGGATGAAGGAGGAGGATGTGAAACCAACCCCAATCTCCACTACATCCAGCGTTGTGGATTTGACAGCAGGTATGAGATGGTTTACTTATATCGTTTCCCCTGGTTTTGTTTTGAATCAATCTAATCCTATTTTAGACCTTGCGGACTCACCGAAGGACGATGACGAAGTCCTATGCACCGGTTCAACCGATCTCAGCACCCAGCGTGTCTGCTACGGCAAAGTCGAAAACGCATTAATTGCCGCCCATACGGTCCCACGACCAGGCCCCTCCGTGTTTACCGACTGGTCGCACGCTTGGCCGTCAATCAAATTAGAGCTGCAACGCCAGCCGGTTCATGGAAATTTTCAGATTGAGGTCGCGGACCCTCACGGCAAAGTTTTCGGTACAATTGACCCTAAAACGGCACACGGACTGGTTCCCCTTATGGACTCCAAAACAGACATCATCGAAGTGATAGGCTTATTGGATATCCGAAGAGCCTCGCCTAATGAAGAAATTTGGGCTCCTACCACAGGGATGTGGCGTGCAACCCTCAATATCTACGGCCAAAGAAAGCACGCAGAGGCTGTCGGGAACTTCCTATCCCACCGCAACATCTGGCTAGGAACTCCGAATTCCGTAGATAAAGGGACTACTGTGTTCAATCCACACGCGGAGAGCCGACGCCAGCTTGCCGCCGCAACCGCTGCCGCTAACAACTCCGGGCGGTCTCGCCCGGGGCCAACCGTCCGATATGAAGCGCGAACTGCCGAAGAAGCCAATGATGCAGTCATGAAAATGTTCGACCAGCTCGCTAACGCGAACATTCCGACGATGGAGCCATCTCATCACATCACCACACCAATGCTGCCTCACCAAAAGCAAGCGCTTTGGTTCATGACGGAGAAAGAGAAGCCGCGCAAATACGGCCGAAAAGAAGAAGACAACAATTCCTTGTGGCGAATGGAACGTGCACCCAATGGGAGGACTCAATACCGCGAGATCATCACTGGAATGATCTCAGAGCAAAAGCCCGAGGAGGCCCTAGGCGGCTTGTTGGCCGACATGATGGGCCTGGGCAAGACTCTGAGTATTCTTTCGTTAATCACGTCCTCGCTTGGGTTAGCTGATGACTGGACTGAGATGGCTCCTGATCCCGCCCTTGTTCGCCAAATTCCAGGAATTCGTAACACACGGACAACACTATTGGTTGTCCCGTTGAGTGCAGTGAGCAACTGGACGACACAGATCACAGACCATCTTAAGCCACGCACCATCAGCTATTACATCTTTCACGGCCAATCGCGCATCACTGATTCCAGCCTGCTTTCTGAGTACGATATCATTATCACGACATACAGCACCATTCTCAGCGAGATCTCAGGGCGTGGCGCCAAAAAAGGAAAACTCAGTCCTTTAACAAAAATGAACATGTTCCGGATTGTTCTTGACGAAGCTCATATCATCAGAGAACAAAATGCGGCACAGACCAGGGCGATCCTCGGGCTCAACTGCGAGCGTCGGTGGTCTGTTACCGGAACCCCAATTCAAAACCGCATGGAAGATCTCCTCTCTGTGACCAAGTTTTTACGGATCGCTCCATACGACCAACGAAGCCAATTTTCCCAACACGTAACTAGCCCGGTGAAAAATGGTGATCCCAATGTGCTTGCCAGGTTGCGAGTTTTGGTGGATTCATTCACCTTGCGCAGAGTCAAGGACAAAATCAATCTGCCACCCCGGAGAGACAATGTCATCAAATTGGAATTTACCGAGGAAGAACAGCAATTGCATGACTTCTTCCGCGCAGAATCAAATGTCATGATGAGCGTCATTGCTGGTGAGGACAAACGCACGATGGGTGGCCGGATGTACCACCATGTTTTGAAAGCCATGATGATTCTCCGCCAAGTCAGTGCACACGGGAAAGAACTTCTTGACGTTTCAGACCGGGCGAGAGTCAAGGGATTTTCTGCTAACGATGCAATTGACTTGGAGGAGGGCGAACCGGGCGCAACCCCGGCAGCCATGGACAAGAAGGCATATGAAATGTTCGCCCTAATCCAGCAAGCCTCAACCCCCGTTGCTGCCATTGTAATGGAGAACTCAATGAACCTCTGAATACAGTGGGGGCTGTCGCCCGTGAATCTCCCATGGCTATTGTCCTACCATGTTTCGATATTTTCTGCCCCGGTTGCTTCTCTGGCTGGAAACAAGCATTCGATTCAAGTCCCGACGCCCAGATCCCTTGTCCCAGGTGCGAAGGCTGGATCCACATGAGATACTCGACCATCACACCTGCTGGCTTTGAAGAATACGTGACCCAACAGGAAAATGATCGGCAAACCCGGAAGCTGGGCAAGAATTTGGGCGAATACGAAGGACCACACACCAAAACGATTGCACTAGTCAACCACCTCAAGGAGAGTGTTGAAGACAGCAAGAAGCTCGAAGGCGAGTCTCCTATCAAGAGTGTCGTGTTCTCTGGATGGACCTCGCACCTGGACCTCATTGAGATCGCCTTGCAGAACAATGGTCTTCACGGGTATACCCGACTTGATGGTACCATGGGCATTCCAGCACGCACCAAGGCGCTGGAGGAATTTGCTAAAAATGACGATGTCAAAGTTCTTCTGGCAACCATTGGTGCCGGTGGTGTGGCTCTGAATCTAACCTCTGCGTCGCGTGTTTTTATCATGGAGCCCCAGTACAACCCAGCTGCCGTTGCTCAAGCGTTTGACCGTGTTCATCGTCTCGGCCAAACTCGCCCTGTGCAAACCTACCAATTCATCATGAAGGGTAGCATTGAGGAGAAGATAATGGACCTTGCCAAGAAGAAGCAAGAGATGGCCGATACGAGTCTGAATCGTGTGAAGCAAGACAAGCGAGAGACCCAGGAGGATCGCATGCGTGAATACCGCAATCTTTTCAAATAGATTCTTTTATCTTTTGTTTTTTTCTCGTTCCAGCTGTGCATGCTTTTCGCATGCTTCAGTTCCCCATTTCCCCCTGCGTTTTTCTTTTTTTTCCTTTTTTTCCCTTCTTGTTTCCCATTTGGTTTGGTTTTTTTTATTATCATTATTTCTGCCACAGTCCCGGTGGCTCTCGGTGATTTCGTTTATCATGATACCCGGAAAAGGAGAAGGCGTTATCAATACCTATTCTTACATCTTTTATTCTCCTTATGATCATATCCCGGGCGTTTGTTTTTCATTTTTCGTTTTTCATTTTTATCCCACAGGTTCCAAGCACGATTACACACGGTTTGCTTACTCTAGCCATAGAAATACATTTATTCTCTGTGCCATTCATTGTGTTTAGCACTAGATTCTACATGTGATTTTACTTTCAAAAGAGGGCATAGGGGTCGAAACATGATGCTTAGGTAGAGTGGGATTCTTTGGTTATCCTCTTCGAATAATGAGATGCCATTTAATAGAAGAGTTTCCGTGAAGACAGCTTAAATGTGCAAATCAACGTCCTTTTTTACGTATAACCAGTTATTCTTTATTGATTGAATGTTCTTTCTAGTGGCTTTCAAGGTGTACATAAACAACTTTCGGACGGCTGGGAATGTGTATGATATTCTTGTAGAGGACCTAACCCTAACTAGTGAACAATGTCTGTCCTATATAGGATAATCCCTTTTCATTCATGGTCTCCTGTAGTGATCTGGTTCAAAATACATATTCATTGTAAATCCACAGACGCAAACAACCTTTCTTCTTCCATGAACTTCCACCGACAAATGCCTTGCATCAAAGAACCTCTAGCTTTATATACCACAGTCCTTAATTATTTCTAACCAACGTCTCCCCCAACCCTATTTCTTTTATGTAGGTAGATATTAATTACCATTATATTATATACTTGTTGGTCGACATATGGCCAAAATCTACCACAGCTGTTTCCTTTTTAATACCACTGGTCAAAAGAAGACGCCCAAGAATGGAGCTGATGACCTGATGACCCTTTCCCTACTATTTACGTTCTATCCTGGAATGTCATGAATGGTGACTCTCTAGCCAAGTTCACCTATTTATTTAAAGGCTCTTGAGACTTGGTGATCTTGTATATACACTGAACTTGTGCCACTGGAGGTTCTGAGAAAAGCTCCATTACTGGCGTATGAACGGGTTACACCAGTCGACATGCTTTCACAGAGTCAAATAAAGGAGGGGGAATCCAGATCCTCTTATCACTTTCTCGAATCTTGTGAGATCCTATTGTTCGAAGAACATCCAACCTGTGACTAACATATCAATATCATTAGACCACCTTTACTAACGAACTCGATTCGGAAAAGAAGTGCCTCACATCAGCTGCTATAGCAGCCCGAGAACTGCTTCTCAAACCTCTCCCACCCTTTCGAGTAGGCTATATCCACACAACTAGTGGAGCCATGCACCAAGTATATTTTCTCGACAGATTGATGCTATATAGCCTGACTTCAAAAGAGAGGCCAGTGCGGTCTTACCCAATAGTTGGGTCGATGCACTGAATTGCGCAGAGAAAGAGAAAATGGCCGGAAGCAGCCCGAAAATACCTTCAGACTCACATTAAAAATGGAACCTAGCGAGTTGTTGATCGCAAAGCTGAATCGCAAAACTGCTGATATTGGTGGCTACTTGTGACACACGGGGTTCTTTTTATATCAGGACGATGGCCAGTACAGAGCCTGTCATGAAGTACGCGGTTGTTGCTAAGCCCATGAACTTCAAAGCTCCTTGGGTGATTCCAACAGCGCCCAATTGATATCCTCAATGTTGACATATAGAGGGGAGGGGAGCAAGTGTATGGAGATGTTATTTGTTCTAGTTACCATGTCCATCAACTCAAAGCGAGGGACGACCAAAAATAGCTACACCCTGTTCAAACTGGCCTCAGATCAAAGGCATCATTCTTCTAGGTATCGGGATCAGATAGTATTAGCTTTTTTTGCAGAGAAAGTCTCCATATAGGGATTGGAAGAAGTTAGAATGGTATTATCATGTGGTATTCGTGAGATTCATTTATGCCTGTGCAATCGGTAAAAGACCCTCTCCGTCACATAACGCCGAGAATATAGCAAGGAAAATGGAAACCCGCTCCAGCCCTATCTGCTTCATATAACTCCGAAATTGCAGGTAAATCGTACCGTCGCGAGAACACACAGAATCAGTTTTGAGAGTAACCATCCCCGTGGATACCCACAGCGACAGCGCCAAGAACATCCTCCAACCGAGTCCTCAACTTTTTCAACTCCCGCACTTTCGCAGCGCGCTCCTTCTCGACGTCTCTAAGCTCGGTCTCCAGGTCCTGGATTCTGGTTTCTTGTTCAGCCTCAGAGGCGCCAATCCCGGGAAGCACGGAGATAAGGTACTCGATCTGCTGTTCTTTGATAATGAGATCGCGCGCAAGCTCCCGCTGCCGGCTTGCAAACGTGCTGGGCGAGTCTGGCGCGGGAGGAAGGTTGGGATCTTCACCTTCTACTGCTCTCCCTGGCGCAGCTCCGGGTTGTTGAGGAGGCGCCTGTGGGGGTGATGCATTGCCCGCAACAGCAGCTGCACCCCCCACTTTATTTGCGATGGCTGCTGGGACTGGCGGTGATGATGAGTTCTTGGTGATCTTTGCTAGGGCTGGTGCTGCGTCGGGGACATTTGGTGGTGGTGTTGTGGGGGCATTGTCGTGGTATGTTGTGAGATAACCAAGTGTTGCGTAGAATTGTGTTGCAAGCTATTTTCCATGTGGTGAGCAAGAGTTTGAATGTAGGTTCTGTGGAGTGGATTTTACCTGATCCAGGCAAGTCTGGAGCTGCGTGAGGATGTCAGCCATCGTAATGACTCGAAAATAAAATGGTAGAAGCTTGGGGGTGACTTGAGAAGGAGAAGTTGAATCTTTGGTCGAACGAAAGAAGCGGAGCAAATGCGGAGAGAAGCTCCAATGCGGTGAGACGGCCTTTTCTTCCTCACATCACTCAATGCGCCTGTTGCGACTACGCCATGGCCTTGCTGCCGGATACTCTCCCTTGAGGCTCAGAACAAATAACTGTCGCTGCTTTTCCAGCTCCCAGATTCATAATGAGCTGACACCGTTTACCCGCCGGCTCTTCAAACTCCCCTCGGCCCCATCTCCACCTTCACAACACCACAATGACCTGACGACCTTTCTCTCCTACGCGGACCATATTTCGCTTCCAGAAACGAGTACGGTACATGTCGGAACACACTACGAGTATACCGTTCTCAAAACCCTACGTCGTTATGCGCTAAACCTCGACCGCATCGGCGGTCGCGACGACGCTGGCATCGATCTTGTTGGTACTTGGCATCTCCCGGAGCGGGAGCGAGAGCGCGCACTCCGTGTGCTAGTACAATGCAAATCACTGAAGGCCAAGCTGGGCCCTAATGTCGTCCGCGAACTAGAAGGAACATTCCGTCAGGCACCTGTCGGGTGGCGCACGGCCGAGACGGTTGGCGTGCTGGTGAGCCCGCGCGAGGCAACCAAAGGCGTTCGTGATACATTAGCTCGAAGCGCATACCCATTGTTCTGGATGATGATTGAGCGGGACGGAACCTTGAAGCAGGCACTTTGGAATGCCCGTGCAGAAGAACTTGGGGTTGGCCCTCTAGGCGTGGAAACACGATATGGAACCACAGCAGACGCCGAGTCTGGCTCAATTAGAAAGGAAATGCTATTGACTTGGGATGGATGTGATATCCCCGATATGGACCAGGTGGAGCAAAGCCTTACCGAGTTCGCCGAGCAATGGGTTAAATCCTGGGGTATGAACTTGTCAGAAATGCAAAAGGGGGAGCTTCTGGATACTGCAGAAAGAGTTCTACCACATGATGTTTCCTCTCAATTGCTCGATAGAACCGTATCGGACGCAGACCGGAAGAAGGTCATTCAAGCTTTACAAGAGCGGCTACAACAGCAGCCGACAAACGAGTGAACGCTCTATAACCAGAAAAAAAAAGCTATATCCAAGCAGCCATATGGCTGGAATGTATGAAGAATATTTGTATGACTTATGACAGAAAATAATCCAAGGGTATAGAAACACCAACAGCGGTAGAAAGACACGACTTCCAGCATCCAAAAATAAAACGCCAGAGAACAGACACCCATAAAATCGTCCCTCGTCATGATCATCCTTGCATCGTTGACCAAAAGTAGTTTGCGTAGAAGAAGCGGGAGAATTTCGGGTCAATATTGACGACATGAACATCGCCTTTGCGGCTATTGCGAATGACCGCTCGGTTGAAATTGCCCGCGTCGTCAGGCTCGATATCAACACCGAGAGAACGGAAGATCTTGAGTCGCAGACTAGATGTACATTAGCAAGAGTATCAATCCAAGACCAGGACACAGGCACACACATTGTCGCATCATCAGCCTCACGCTCGCGCCGCGTTGTTTCGTCGCCCTCCAGACCCTGGGATTCTAGATCGACCAGTCTTTCCTTAAGCATTTCCAGCTCGCTCTCCAAGCGCTCACTTTCAATTTCTAGTTCTGATGCAGCCTTGGCAATGCGGAACTTTTTGGTATCCAACTCCACAATCTCCGCCGCGTGTTTGCCCGAGTCGTGTACGGCCACGGCTTCTTCGTGTTGTGTAGATAGGGAATTCAGGTGGCGTGAAAGTTTTCGCATGGCCGACTCGGCCTCACGAATGCGCAAGTCGCGCGATTGCTGGAGGGTTGAGAGCGAGTCATTGATACGGGTGACGGCTTGTTTATCAGGGTGGATGTTAAAGTTGCCGATTGTGTGGTGGATGAGCTGAAACGATCAGTAAATTCATTGGGCTTAAATAATTAGAGCAAAGAGAATAGCACATACAGTTCCAGGGTCTTCGTCAAGTAACATGGTGTCGGTTGGTTAACAAATGTCGAGGTGGAAAGTCGATTGTTTTGGGTTTGTTGCGGCAGCAACAGCCACAGCACCGCCACATATGTTGCTCCTCCGCAAAGTGACGTTACGTTGTGCCTGTGATTTCTCTGTCCTTGCATTTACCTTCTCGCCCAACGCAACCACGAACTCTTACTTTTGACGAACAGTTATTGAATTACTGGAACTCTTGCTCTGATCAACATTTCTCCCTTTAAAACCCAAGAATCCCTATCTCGCCATGTCCAACCTTCCATGTAGGTGATCTGTTCCGACTGATGCCTAATACTTAAAGACTGACTTGCTTTTCCTCTCTAGATGCCGCCGATGCGGAAAGGTTCGTTTTCCGCGAAAACAATCTGCCAAAGAAAACATCGGGACCGTAAGAACTGACTTTGACTACCACCAACACAGTCCCTTGAAACCCGCCGAGCTACAGGTCCTCAGAGCGCAATACGAGAAAGAAGGCGACTATGTCGGAATCCAGACAAAGTTCAACTACGCATGGGTATGGTTTATCCAGCTTTGATCAAATGTTCTGGCGCTAACCGGTACTCCCCGCCTATGCGGGGGTGGTATTTAATATAGGGCCTGATCAAATCCAACATCCGTTCCGAGCAGCAAGAAGGTGTTCGCCTGCTTTCAGAGATTTTCCGCGGAGCTCCAGAGCGGCGACGCGAATGTCTCTATTATCTGGCCCTCGGCAACTTCAAGCTAGGCAATTATGGCGAAGCGCGCCGATACAACGATTTGCTCCTGGAGAAGGAACCTGCAAATCTCCAGGCTGCCAGTCTTGGGGGACTCATCGATGATAAGGTCGCCAAAGAGGGCCTGGTCGGCGTCGCGATTGTGAGTGGGTTGGCTCTCGTCGCGGGTGTCGTTGGTAGTCTCGTGATCAAGGGAACTAGAAGACGGTAAACGCCCGTTGAGGATTTGCGTGACCTGAAAAGGCCGTGACAGCCGAAAGGGATGTCTGTCTGGAGTATAACCACCTATGTATATTTTTTTGTGTGGGATCTGATTCATTGGCCGTTTGGCGATTTCTTTTCTATTATCGGAGCATCGAGGGCGTTATCTTTGTCTCTACTCTCTCTCTCTCTCTCTCTCTTTTTAAACCACCGCTAGGGTGGTGGTATGCTATATAAGTGCTAGTCGTACACGACCCAAATTTACTTAATGCGTGTGTACACATAGATTCTAATAGCAAAACGATTCGTCACATTCGTAGATTGCTATTCAGTATATATCTCAGCATCGAAGCTCACCACACTGCAATATCGACAGTGTCAATTACTGATTCTCTCCAACCTGAACAATCTTCCCAGTCTCAACTTGATACACATAGCCTGTGATTGGAACATCCAAGACCAGAGGACTATCCTTCAATATCTGAATATCATCCCGAACACTCTGCTCGAGTTCCCTGAAAGGCAAGAACGCAATGTGATCGGCGTTCTGGTGTAGATCCGTACGGATCTTGTCTCTGATTACATCTTCAGTGAATGTGAGCATTCCACAGTTTGTCTGAAGATAGTTAGTATTGATTCATAAGTTGGTAAGACGTAAGCTATGGTCGAGGCTTAGTCTTAGTCTTAATGGTTTGCAGGGGTTGTGTACATGATGCACGATAACGATTTCGCGAGTGCCGAGCAGCTGCTGCGAAATGATGATGCTGCGCAGTGCATCTGAAACTCTGCCACCGGCATTGCGGATTATATGGGCATCGCCTTCTTCAAGACCGAGGGCGCGGGCGGGATCTATAGATCACATAGTAAAGGTGTGAGTATTATCCCCGTAGGACTAGAAGTATCGTAGAGGAGGTATACGGACCAAGGCGCGCGTCCATGCAAGCCACCACAGCTACCTTTCTAAAATCAAAGAATTAGAGTCAGATGTGTCGTTTGCATGATACTAGTGTAGTAAAAGTTAGGGCTTGAACGAGCACTATTAACGCACCGCTGAGGGGGTAGCTGCAGGTCGCCCTTGGTGAAGGATGCGACGTAATTGGTATTGGCTGCTTCGAATTCCTTTGCGACAGACATGATAATTTAGTATGTTTTGAATAGATTTTAGAGGACCTTTGGGGCTGATCGTGGAATATAAAGACCATGCACCCCCGCTTCTGATGTGATATGGCGGAAGAATGGCAACATAGTTTGCCAATATTCCTCGCTCATAATCGATTTTTTGACTGAGCAATCTTTAGTCCCTGTTCACTTCCTAAATCGAGCTTCCGGGGGGATATTGATCGACTGGATTTTGTTATGAAGGGGTTGTTTCTGTTTCTGTTGCAGTTTATTCATATATCGAGACATTGCCATGTATGAAGTTGAAAAAATAGTCCTAATGGGACCCTGTAGGCCTTCCTGTGGAGCCTTGGAGGTGAAAGCAATATCGCCGTTCTAGCTATGACCTACTAATTACTTCTGGCTCTGATAGGTTATGAATGTAGCGATCATTTGCAATTATTGCTCCCCAATCGGTGCTAAATATGGACAATCAGATCAAGCCTTGAACTCCTTCTTCGCAACCTGCTCACAAATACTACGCAAGACAACACCAACAGCCTCGAAATCACTTGTCTCCAAGTAAGTCTGGCCGCTCAGACGAGTCCACAGCCAAGGGCCATGGCAGAAAACCGGCAGGAAAGTATTATGTACGTCCATCAACTGCGTCTGAATCCAAGAAAATGCCTTAGGGGCTTCTTCCTCAGACAACAAAACCAAAGGGGTATGACCGAGAGATTCAGCTTCCTTCCCGGCAGCGGCAACAGCAATAGGCAGCCGGACCGTAGTCATGGCACACTGGCGCATACGGCTCTCCTGGCCAGGCTTCAGATCAGGTTCTTGCATGACCTCAGTACCGAGAGTGGCAGCAACAGCGTCTGCACCTTCATTTGCAACACGCTGGATGTAGGAAATAATAGCATCCTCGCCTCCGCAGACTTCGGCGCGGAATTTCAGCGCTGCCGGGACGCAGATGTATGCGGAGTCATCACTGGTGGCGACAAACTCGAAGAGTTGCTCGAAGGCAGTCTTTGTCACGGGGGCATTAGGGTCTTGCAACACCGAGGCAATAGTCCCGGGGGAGTCCGGGGCTGATATAAATCCCCAAGACGTTGGCATGGTAGTGCGTAATAGATGCTGGTTACGTCGGGGGGTGTAGAGGACTGCACAGCTGCGGGGTGTGTAGAGCCATCTTTATGAAGCCGAGTTAATATCCGTGAGGTTGCTTAAGTTATTGAAAAAAAAAAGGGTAGGATAATGGGGATTAGTTCATACTTGTGACAATTTGATATAAGAAAGTCGGGCTGAAGCTTCTCCATATCGAGATGGATATTTCCAATGCCGTGCGCAGCATCGATGACGCTCAAAATACCCTCTTCACGACAGATTGCAGTAATCCGTTCAAAGGGGAACCGCACACCAGGGTTACTGACGATAGCGTCAAAGACACTAGCCCGGACCTTGAGTCCCTCTTCACGAGTTTGGCGAATAACCTCGCGGAAACGGCGTTCTAGCTCGTCTTCGGTAATAGGGAACTGGAAAGACACCTTCCGGGCTTGTAGAGAGCTATGCTCCTGAAGTGAGACAACGCCCTTTTCAACAGCACCGTAGACGGGCTCAAAGTAAATGAGTGCCTCACCTGGCTGGAAAGCCAAGTTATACAGCACCGTCGCCACGCCTGTAGTCGCATTTTTAACAAACACGCACTCGTCACGCTGAGTGTTGAGGAGCTTCGCGACGGCCTCACGAGCTTTGTCCAGATGCTCTGAGTGGTACCGGCGGATATATGGATCTGGCCGCACATCGGCGAGATCCATGAACGCACGCTGTGCATCCTTAACAGGAATCGGATGGGCACCAAACGATCCATGGTTCAGGTTCTTATAAGCGGAATCGAACATCCAGTGCTTCAGCATGGGCTTGCCAAAGGGAGTTGATTGAGTTGTTGCGGTCATGATGTTGGGGAATTCAAGAAAGTCTGGAAATAGTGGGATAAGTTTGGAACACCACAACTTCAGCGACAGGAAGAGAATTTAAAGATAACCCCGAAACACAATGACTCAAGCTTGTTCTATGATAACTTTGTCGTTGCTTCATACACCGAGGTCTTCAAACACAGAGATCTGATTCCTGAAAATACAGGTGAGTCACACCGAGCCAATGACAACCCCTCTTGCGATGCTAACCGGAGATCCACATGCCGCCGAAGGGCGTAGAAGTAGAAAATAGCTTGCGTGTCATACAAAGCTGAGACAGGAGATAGGAATATGCATGATATTAATATGCTGATTTGGCATTGCTTGAGTTGACACGCTTGTATAGTAGATCTTGGGGACCATGAAAATGCGATCTTGGGGCCTAACAGGAAAAGAAATAAGTAGTTCTATAGTTCATCCCAATACAATTGTAACATACAAGGTGCATGGCCGCACTGTATTGCCAGTCGCTGCCAGTATATGCCAGTACAACCAAATCGACTACAGTCAATTGTTTGAATTGCCGGGTCACACGCCCTGTGTTCGTGTGTGCATTATATATTTACAGGTAAAGATGTGCGTTATAAATCACAAAGATTATCGAAATCCCAAGGCACACTAATTGTTGCCAGACGAAGAGCTTTTTCAACGTTCTGCCGTCGGAATATCGGTCCATTCCCAACGCATATGGCTTCTTTTGAGAGGGCTACAGTGGTGTTAGTATATCTCTTCAAGGGGTTCCGCTCCCAAGAACTCACATTTGATGAATGTCATTGAATCAAGTGATGTAGAGACCGAATAATCAAGGCGGCCAGAGGAATCGGAAGAGTTGTCAAAAATCACCCTCTTGTCGCGCAGGTATCCTTGCACTCCACTGGCATCCATCCAGTCACCGGAAGCTGATTCGAGCGCAATCTGCCATATCTTAGACGGGACCTGGAGTTGTTCATTCGAGAACATGTTCATATTGGTTTGTAGGGCGTGAAGTACATGGGTCTTGGGATCCGTCAAGACACCTGTCTTGTCCTGCATGACAGCGTGAAACGCTGAGACCATACGGTTGCGTTCTGGTAGACTCGGAACAGAGCCAAACACACGTTGGACTGCGGGGCTGTTTGGATTCTCGACAAGAAGGCGATATCCGCCCTGACAGCAAGTCCTGACTAGACGTTGTGCGATATTCCACTGTCTGTCAGGCGTTATATTACTAGAGAGTAGATCTAGTGTTGGGGAGTTCGATAATGGTGGGGTGATATGAGAAAATTGAGGAAATTGAACAGTAGGTGATGGCATGACGAGGCCGAATGGCAATAAAGATGGACCTTCATATGGTGGAGTAGGAGGGGCGGGCCATCTCGTAGCGACTGATCTTGTTATATCCTCGGCATCTGTTGAAGCTTCTGAGTGTGCGTTATCCAGAACTGTCGGGTCTGTATTAATATTTGTGATTTGAGATTCTTTTGCGGTCTGAACGAGGGGGAGGGCTCCTTCAGACGAATCGTCGCTCCCAGCCTTCGCAAGCGACACGCATTGCTGAGTTATGTTTTGAAGAGCCGACGCAATATGCGGATATTGTGAGAGGAGTTGCTCTTCTATAAGAAGACTACTGAAGGAGAGGAAAGATTGGCTGATATTCTCGATGCCGGTTTCTAATTCGTGTACGCGATTCTGCAGGTTACCGATCGTGGTCTCCTTCCTTTTGCGATATGCCTGCTGCGCAAGGCGGAGTTGTTTGCGACGTCTCTAGAAATTCATGATTATGAGCAACGCCACTTGGAGCGTTGGAATCTGACCCACCTCTGGCACTTCTTGCTCGTTGGTAACAGTTCGAGGACGACCGCGTTTGCGACTAATCGGTTTAGGCGTTTCTTCGCCCATTGTTTTGTCTGGAATTAGATATGTGAGAAGAGCTCTGTCTCAAACTATATCGAAAATTTGCAGCTCCTTTGAGATATCGGGATCCTTCAGAAGAATGACAAATGCAGTGGCGATAAGATGATTAGACGACTAGCCGTCGGGGAGTTGAATAATCGAAAAATCATGCGCGGCGGGATGACATAAGACCCTCCACAGGCGATCAAGGGTCCATGGATACTCAAGTAAATTAAAGGTTCCTATTGGTCAGTCTACTTAGCATTGACGCCTCCTTAATTCATACTACATCCATGGATAACTACCTAGGTAGTAGATGAACCGTGGATGGATAAAGACTCATTTAGATATGTAGGGCACACGTGTGCCATCAATTGGATATTCAGGCTTGACATCTATGAATGATAAGAGTAAAGTGTAAACAAGAATAGAAGGTGCCTCTAAACGCCCAAATGCTGCGGCTGCTTCGTGAGCCGTCAAAGTTATCGCTCATGTGTCATGTCCAATAAAAATATAAGCCAACGCCGGGTCCGATGAAGTCAACAATAATAATACAAACGCGGATACGTCCAAGCCAATGCAATAACGCGCCCAAAGAGAGCACACAAGACACCTGCCATGGCAGGAACTGGCGATTCGCACTGCCCACCAATGGAGCATCATGAGGATCGAAAGCCGTCGCCGTGGCTTCTCGAGTGGGCGTATTGGTAGAAATAATGGTAGTAAGGGGTTTGGTCGAAGATGTGATTCTGTTCATCAACTGAGTCGAGTTCCTCGCAAAATCTCAACGCCAGAGTGGGAAGAGGCAGCCGAAGAAAAAGGCAACGCTGCTGACACAAAGCGGAAGGTAGACTGTCGGGGAAAAGATTCGATATTAATGGATGAACCTAGTCAAAAAGGGATTCGGGGGATTGCTCACTCATTGAGCCTCCACCTGGTGGCATGTTTTGGCCAGAGCCAGACTCCCAATCATACCCCGTTGACGAGGCCAAAGGAGAGCCGGTCGCCACCCAGGGCCAGACATTTGGGGTGACCCAGCTTGAGGTTTCCTTGTGGGTTCCACTCCAGGGAACTGGGACGCTGTCGATGGTTGCAGTGATTGCAGGTGCGGACTCGGTCGACGTGGGCTCGGCGGCTTTGTTGCCATTGACCGTGCCTCCTTCTGCGACAATTGACTGCCATGAGCCACTTTTGTCTCCATATCTGTACGAAGTTCCGGTGGAGTAATCGGTTACAGTCATTGACTTCATATACATCTTGAAGGGGCCTTGGCTATAGTCTGTTTGACCACCAGCCCAATCTGAACAAATACAAGCTGTTAGCAAGCACAATAAAGGTAATTTCCAGGACGGTCCCACTCACCAATAGTACCCTTGGCATTGTTCGGGTCACCGCCAGCCCACACACCGACCTTGACCATCATCGGGCTCTGTGGGTACTGGTTGGTTTCTGCCGTCTCGGGAGTGAGAACACGAACAGTTTTACCATCAATGGCCCACACGATCTGACTGCTGGTCCAATCGATTGAGAAAGTGTGGAAGTCATCATGGTTTCCGGAATTTTCATGGTAGGCGCCACGGCTGAATGAACTTGTGTCTCCTTTACCGAAGTAATTGGTCTGCACTTGGGCATTGTTTCCACCCAGCCACTCCCAGTCAATTTCGTCCAAATCATCGGACTGCATAACTGCACTGCTCACGATTCCGGTCCCTGGTGCTGCCTTGATGGTGCATTCCACACGGCCGAACATGATGTACCAGCCGGACTGAATCAGCGGGCCATCACCCTGCTTAGCAATAGTAAAGGTTGCACCATTCGTTTGGTCATATGTGACAGAACCAGTCGACTTGAAAGCATCAGATGCGCCACTTGTGAAATCAAACGTCTTGTCAGATTGGCCAAATGCAGGGTCCGCGGGACATGCTGCTGGATGTTAGTGACCTGTTGACACAACCGTGATGGTGAGCCTTACTATTCTGTGTTGGATTGCAATCGGTATAGGTTTGGGCCACGACTAGCGTGGAAGACAGCAGGCCCAGGGCCGCACCAAGAAAGAATCGCATGGTAGGCCAAATAGAATATGTAAGTTATAAGTAACCTCACAAATATTATGCAATAATGAAGATGAGAATTGATACTAAAGGGTAAGCAGATGAGGAGAAAAAAACGGGAAAAGATTTCAAGTGAAAGGGGAGTACACAAACGGTCTTAAAACAACTTTGGGAAGGTGCCAGCCTCCTCTTTCTGTGGTTTCTGTTTTCGGTCGATCCGTGGGTCCCCAGCTGTCATTTGACCAATCACATTTCACCTTATATCGAGGTTGTGCCCACAGGTGGATCAGTGGTGGGCCAGCAAGAGAGCTACACCACGTTGTTCCATGGAGTCTCTATATGTAGTCATTCCATGTAGGGGAGCACCTAGGTATACACTCGACGGGTGTGCAGTTCAAATGTCAATGTGCATCCTCAGCCTGAGTGTGCATGTATATATATACAATGGGCTATTTTGGATAGTGCGTGACACAGAACACGTTGGATTAGGCATCTGAATCGAGATCCTTGGAAGACGTACGGAGTAATCTGTACTCCGTACTGAGTACATAGATATTCATTCGATGAAACCAGTCTACCTGAAAAACCAAGAAAAAGCGGCAAGGCCCAAGCAAAATTAATAGGTGGCAGGGTACACACGTATATTAGGACCCACAACCCCCAGCCTCTCGCATTTAGGTAGTCTTTACACCACTTATTATTAGAGATGTGATCTCATATTCAAGGTTTTCCTCTACATGATATTAATTTATACTCCGTACGGAGTCCTTGTCTTTTATCCGAAGAAAAATAGGTAGTAGTACTAATCAACAGTTGTGATTCCAATGTTCGGGCCAGGCTACCATTGGACAGACATCTCCGCATTAGCTCTAGCGGCCTGATGAGTGATATGACTTTAACGACCAACCTTAGCTATCCTTCTAATATCTGTAATTTTCGTTTAATGGGCACACTGGTTAGGCGCAGGAGTAGCACAAGAGGCTGGTCTAGACTTTGGTCGACCTCAAGGACATAAAGCCGCCGATCGATGTAAGGGCGATCTGCCGGGCGGCGAATTGAATCCCGACAATGGGAGAAAAAAATAGTCCGATAACTGTGGGCCCTATCAAGTCTCGGTAACTTATACTAACTTGTTTCTTTAGCGATGAAGAACCACCTAACTAGGTCCCTCCATGTTCGACTATGCAATGATCTCGTGCGGTATACCGGACTACCTAGACTATTGATTTGGCCACTACCTTATTATTCCACTTATGCCACACGCCACTATCCTTTCGGCTATACCGACGCTAGTAGCTATATTTCAATATTCTCATTTGATCTTTTAACCATGTGTGATCTCCTTCTCTTCGTTCACAAGAGAGTCCGTTTTGCTAGAAAAGTTGTGATCGTGAGCGGTGGTAACAATGTCCCAGGGCATGAGATGGCTGGTCTGATCATCGCCATTGGCGACGAAGCTATGGGTAAGTCGCCCTCAAAGGTACAGACGAAATTCGTGCAAATACCGGGTGAGCCTAGCTAGATCTAGATTGCTATGTTCAGGCGTTCACACATAAATTTGTGAGTTTGGCATCCTAGTTAGCGACAATGGGCATGACGTAGAGTAAGTTCACGCTCCACTCGCCTAGATCTATACCTTGTACTTCGTAGGGTCCCTGAACTAGTACTAGCAGTCTCCAGTGGATTTCTAGACCCACTTTTTGGTTGTGTTCAATCTGATTCATACCTTGGGAGGAAACCGCTAGGAAGTGAGGACCTGCTAACTAGTTAAATCGTATTCCCTGAACTCTAGAAGAGGGAGGTTGTGTGTTTGTTCATGCTACTACCATTTACCATTGTTGGCAGAGACAGTCATAACAAATTCGTCCAGCAGATTTGAGTCACTACTCATATTTGAATATTTCGCCAAGAAAAAGATATGCTTTAGTCTTCCATCGCGCAGCAATGGAGGCTACCCGATGTGGGTTTAATATAGCTTACCTGTATCTCAGGATTTTCTTTGGGCAGATCTGTTATGTATAGTACTAGAGTTCTGTTCACCAAAATATCAGAGTCTATGGATAGGATAGATATATCACAGGCCAGACAGATTGCAACCAAGGGAAAATGAGCTGTGCAATGGTAGCAATACATTCCTTGGCAATCCGAGCTGTCACCTTCCAGCGAAGCCAAAATATAATATATATAGAAAATATAAAATACGAGTACAACCCTGGAAGTGCTACAGGGATTCTTTGTCACAGCCTCGATACCTCGAGAGCTGACCCCCGGGGCCGGGGCCGGGATGACGGTCCAATGACTCGACTATACTCCGTAGAGGGCTATGCAATGCAAGAATGGCAGACGTATACGTGGTAAATGTCTAAATTATATGCACCACCCTATACGAAGAAAAGCGAAAAATAGAACAGAAGACTGTAAAGGTAAAGCAGAACAAAGACGGGGAGAGCTCCACCGTCACCTTGTCGAGCACGGACAGCACGGACCATGTCCAATGAAAATGGTTATATCTATAGAAAATATTCAGGTGAAGAGATGAGGAAGAAAGAAAATAAAGAAATAAAGAAGAATACAAAGAATTAGTTTCAAATACCTAATCTACAAGTAAATCTACCAGTTTCAGGTTTGAAGATGTTTCAAGGGTATAGAAGTGTAGCGCTAAGAGTCTCACTCCGACAAGTCTAGTACACCCGAAACTCACCCGGGTTTCTTCTTCCTCCATCTCTTTCTTATTGTATGAATTCCATCTTGAGCTTCGGATCCTTTTTAATTCTTTTTTTCTTTTTTTTTATAATAGGGATCTTGGCTTTGTTCTCGATCGTCATTACGTTGATCCGCCTTTGTCACGAGTCACGACTATCCCCACTCTTCGTCTTCCCCCCCCAATTAACCCTCTGGACCTCAATTATCACCCCGTTCGCCTTGCCAGTATGCGCCCGTGTTGCCCTTAACCCC